CTCTATATATGCCAGGTTGAACGGGAAAATAGATAAAAAAATTCAATTGACAATTAACAGAACGATAAAGATAACATTCGATTAAGCAAATATTTCTTTTAAATATTTATCAGTGCAAATGCTTTTAAAATATATTTAATATTATATTATATAATATATAATTAAATAAATGCTCATAACGAGCAGTGTTTCTGTACTGCCTGAGTACATCAAAACATTATCGAGCAGTAAACGCCTCAAAACTGTTTGCATCCATAGCCCATTGCCCATATCTTTAGCAGTATTTCCGTTTATCGATAAATTTATTACTGGCCCAAGCATACTGATTGTATGTTAATGGTGTTTCTTATTACGATACGCCCGTAGTCGTGTGGAAGTGATTTGCAGTTTAAGTAGAGGCGCCGTATTAGCTTATTTCAATTGCAAAATAGAACACTTTTAGAATGCGTTACGCGTGCACACTGCATGGTATGCGTAGCGAGCTATGGCGTTTTTATGCTAGACCGTATGTACTTATTGTCTATGCGTACGGTTTCCCTGTTATTTTTAATTGATCGCCGTGATTGATAGCTAGTTGTTACAGATCAGTGTCCGAATTAAAATTTGTAGAAAAAAGGAACGAAAAGTTTTTCACCGCTCTGGGATTCAAACCCACGTCTTCGGGATTCGCGCCCTGACGCTCTAGCCACTAAGCTAAACGGCTGATTGCCACACCCACGAAATTCTCAAGTCCTTTATCAACATTGTTTTTAGCATTTAAAGCGACGCTTGGCGCATCTATTTTTATATCCTTTCTAGCATATAAACAATTTCGAATATCGTTTTACAAATATAATTCGAACGAGAGGTGTAACCATTGCTTTTCAGTGTCCGAATATTTTTACTCGAGCAACGTGAGTTCGAATCTCCGTGCCTGTACCGATGAAATTGTTAGTTACAATTTTAAGAGCTAACTTATCTCGTGCTCAGCGGTGAAGGAAAACGTCGTAAGGTAAAAACTGGTAAAAAATATTTCAAAGATATGTGACGTTTTCCAATCTGCAGCGAGGTCACGTGGAGGACTTGTACAGAGGAGTTGTTTGCTCAGCAGTGGGAGATATAGGCTGCTCCGTTTTTTTTAATTGATCAATTTAATTAATATTGTACTGTAAGAACATACCTTTTTATACACATAAACTGGCATATTTAGTAGCCAATTCAGTGAATTCACAAGGATTTGGTGGGAGATAGTTTTACTACCCTTTACGGGAAACATTCAATTACGTTTGTAAATCTTCAAAATCTATTACAGGCTAAAAAAAAACTTTGCACTTTATGAAAACATACCGCACGCAACATTAACTCAATGTCACTCTTACCACTGCAGTTCAAATGTTCATAGGTCAGAGTATAACTTCCTCATAAATGTTTTGAAGTTATCAACGCTCTATCAAAAGGAATGGGTGATAATTACACTCATACTTAGTCTACCATACGTAGTTTATATTTATAGTCAACTTAAAAATGCACTAGTAGCGCCAATTAATAATTTACTTGTTATTGAAAAACTTACATACAACGAAATAAATTCAGTGTCGCGTGAGTTACCCGTGCTGTTGTTAACTTTAGCATTTGTTTTTACCGTAACATTTTACAAAAATAAAAAAATCATGTAAAATCACTAATACAAGTTCATCCTACGTGTGGGCATGAAACCTACGATACGTAGTGATAGCTGTTGACGAAGAGACATAGCACCATATTATGTACAGGTAATAAACGCCTTATTTGTCCATACCTCGAACTCAGATAATACTTGCCAATTAATGACGCCTACTTACGCGATGTTCCATAGGTATTCGGATCTTATCGGACAATTTACACCTCCCTGAACGAAACGAGATAAACTTTGGTGACGTCACGCATGGCCTACTGAATACTGGTTTCGTGGCGTTTACAGCAAAGTGATAGTGTATAGAAATTAATGGTGGAATAATATTGTGTACTATTATTGTACATTTGTCATTCACAAGTCGTGGCAGGTCGGTGCGTAGGCACTCGCATTCGGTCAAGTTTCACTTTGGCAAACATTTTTGTTTTTATGGCAGAAATAAACACTGGAAATGAGATATCTCCTAATGGATGTGTTAAATTTCTATTACTTTAGTTTTTTTTTAAATTTTTGAAGGTGGCAAGCTAGCTGGCGGTTGACCTGGTGTTAAGTGATAACCGCCGCCCATGGACATTTGCAACGCCTGTAGGGTTTGTAATGTGTTGTCACCAAGTGGGCCCCGGCTGCCTCACTCACCGGACGAAACGCAGGCGTATAACGTTTCCACTTTACGGCGATAGCTAATTTCACAGTCGACGGCCATCGGGGTTTCGGTCCGAAACGCGACCTCGACGGCCCTTAGATGACACACCATAGTTAAACGCACGCATGAGCACATGTGCGGCCCTACCCACAGCGGAGGGCCCAAACCAACCATGTAACTTGAATTAATATCAAAGAAAAAACTTGAATTAATATCAAAGAAAAAAAATATTGCATAAATTACAAATTAATGAATTATAATCGCATAAGTTGATAAAAAATGCTATGCAATAGCTTTATCGCGGCACTACCCGAGTGCCACAGTTTTTTTTTATATATATATTTCGTTCCCACTTTAATTACGTATAAAATATTCAAAGCAGCTTCATATCGATGTTGAATATATCGATTTCGCAAATAATCAAAACCGTCATAATATAATGAACGTTCCAATTAAGACGTTCCGTTCGAAGACGTGGAAATTAGAAAGACTGATTCAGAGACGTCTGTAAAGAGCGGTAGAGTGATACAACATTCTAAATTACGTAATTTCGTAGACTGCCATGTTGGCTTTTAAAGTTGAATGCCTTGAATATGTGTCCGCTTACTCTTAGTCGCCATCCATAATTAATTAATACGCCGACGTTTATTTTTTTTTGTAACTTATCTCAATAAGTTGTTTCGCATCAGGGTGTTTGTCCACGTGAAATTTATATTTGTAAAACGTCCCAACTACACAGGATAATGTCATCCTAAAGTAAGGGCAATGTTTTTTTTTTTAAATAGGCAATAAATAGGCAACCCTATGATTACAGATAAATTATGATAGGTACAACCCAGTCGACTTAACTCGGTACCTGGCTCTAGAAGCCGTTTACAGCGTTATCATTTTAATAATAGCACCTGCGATTAGTAGGCTGTAGACGTTGTTTTAAAAGGGGGAACATAACATGCATCTTCCATGCTTCCGAGAGTACCGTACGCGCTTTACGCTTTCCAGACTCGACACGGTGCCGGAGCTGGGGTTTTTTCTCCTCCACAGAATTCCTCGCAAGAAATCCAATCTGGCCGTCGCAACAGCCGCCGTGGCCATTAACGGAGTTAATTGTCGATCTGTATGCCGAACACCGCCGGCCCAGGCCGATTGTTCTGACCGATACGATCTCGACATATTTTCAAAACGTTCGTATATCGATCGGCGCGATGTATTGTTGATGCGTCGTTTTATTTGAGTGATTCGTAATTGATCGTGTCGGAAATATTCAAGCGGTCAAATTGTAGTATCTAAATATATATATAAATATATATCAGTGCCAGTATCTAAATATATATACTAAATATATATACATATATCTATTATAGGTGACCCTGTGACGCAGTTGTTAAGTTATTGGCATCGGCGCCGTGGGTGTCGGGTTCTATTCCCACACGGGGCACGAATTTGTGCGTATCATTTGTACCCACAGATAATAATTATACCGGACTTGGATGTTTATGAGGTAGGGTTCGGCAGGGGATCGATCGTAAACAACGTCACATATTGCGTCGACCCCACTAAGGAGAGATTAGGGCCGGTGAAAGAAGAAGGGCAGTCTGCCGTCGTCACGCATCAGGTTTTATTAGGAATAGACGATTTTATCACGTTATTGTTAATACGTGCCACCAAGATTTGAAACTGCATGAATTGTCATTGTTTAAGAGTAGAAAACTAATTCTAAGTATTTAAAAACAACATTATCCCGTGTTGCAGAGACGCGATACAAACTCAAATTGAACTTCGAAATACACTCGATCTCTACTTACGCCCGATTTCTGAAATACTGATCATCGTAGAAATTAACTAATCAGCTGTCAAATGGCTTTTCAAATGTCATTTGAGTTGCCAAAAGGATAGTTGTAAGTTGTATAACACCATACAAATATTTGCCCCTGGTAGTAATCCGACTCTCGGCGTTGAATAATGGAGGAAATGAAACTATTGTCTAAAAGACAAATTATGTAGAATTTATTTAGAAATGTACAAATATGTTAACAATCTTAAAATTCACATGTTTTTTTCAGCATTTATTACAATAATATCAAATTCAATTACTGTTTGATATATAAAACAATAGGTTTATTATTATTCTATTTAATAACTGTAACTGGCTCAGACTGGCAAATCGACTAGATAATTAATAGTTATCAAAAGGAAGTACTTTATAAATCACATCCAATCAGACTGGTTTAACTATTTAAAATATATAGGTACTGCGTATTAACAATACTGTATACACTGGAATTATAAAATGCACGCTAGTTTATGGATGGATGCTAGATAACAATAAAATTAAGAAATTCCCAATACTAAATATATATTTGAGGTCGAGGTGTGGAATTCGAGCAATGGCCAGTCCCCATAAAAAACTTACATAATAATATTGCCACAGACAAGCATTCTAGTCCTTCTAAAATTGTTATGAGAGAGCGTCCCATTACAATTTCTCAGAATTACAATATATCGATATAACTTGATTAACTAAAATAAAACATAACCACAATTACACAATCCCGCGATAAGAAATCACCTTCAAGCAAATCAAATTAACAATTTCAACATGACACACCGCAGATAGCACTAGACAAACGACATTTATCTTGACACAGATTAATTCATTGGAGCGTCTTATGAATGACATAAAATATATTCAATTATTTCATCACTTCACATTCTGAAAACACCGAATTTGCTGTCTCTGAATGGCGCATTAAGAGCAGCCGACAAACTTAGTCCAATGACTCTTCGAGTATCTCTTGGCGCTATGATACCGTCATCCCACAGCCTCGCCGTGCTGTAGTAAGGTACCCCTTCTCTCTCGAACTGTTCCTCTAAAGGGCGTCGAACTTTCTTCTCGTCTTCTTCTGTCCACTGCTTGCCTTCCCTCTGCGCTTTCTCTTTAGCGACCAAAGACAGCACCGTTGCAGCCTGCGGTCCACCCATAACGGATATTCTTGCATTCGGCCACATGTACAGAAAGCTTGGCGAGTACGCACGACCGCACATTCCGTAATTACCAGCGCCGAAGCTCCCGCCGACGATCACTGTGATTTTGGGACCTTTAAAGCAACTGACAGCCGTCACCATTTTCGCGCCATTCTTCGCTATCCCTCCCGCCTCCGCCTCCCTGCCGACCATGAACCCCGTGATATTTTGGAGAAACAGCAACGGTATCTTCCGAGCGGCGCAGAGCTGTATAAAGTGGGAGCCCTTCAACGCCGCCTCTGATTGCAGCACACCGTTATTTCCGATCACGCCAATTGGATGACCGTAAACGGTAGCGAACCCGCATATCAATGTTTCGCCATACAACTCCTTGAATTCGTGAAACCTGCTGCCGTCTACAACTCTCGCAACGACTTCCCTAATGTCGAAAGGCCTTTGAATATTTGCTCCGACAATGCCGTGGAGGTCGTTTATATCGTGTACCGGTTCTTCGACTTTTTGAGTGTGAATTCTCGTTTTCTGATCGTTGTTCCAATTAAAATTTGCGACCACATTCCTTGCAAGGTGTAAGGCGTGCTCGTCGTCCAGCGCGTAATGATCCGTGACGCCGGATTGGCGGCAATGGAGATCGGCCCCTCCCAAGTCCTCAGCGGAGACGGATTCACCGGTGGCGGCTTTAACCAGTGGCGGGCCGGCCAGGAAAATCGTGCCCTGGTTCTTGATTATAATGCTCTCGTCAGACATACTGGGGATATAGGCGCCGCCGGCAGTGCAAGAACCCATCACGACCGATATTTGCGGTATTCCTTCGGCGGACATGTTCGCCTGGTTGTAGAAGATTCTGCCGAAGTGCTCGCGGTCGGGGAACACGTCAGCCTGGTCCGGCAGATGCGCGCCACCGGAGTCGACGAGGTAGATGCACGGCAGGCGGCATTCTTGGGCGATCGCCTGCGCGCGCAAATGCTTCTTCACCGTGACGGGGAAGTAAGTGCCGCCCTTGACGGTCGCGTCGTTGGCCACTATCATGCAGTCGCGGCCATGAACCTTCCCGATGGCGGTGACTATTCCCGCGCTGGGCACTTGGCCCTTGTACATTCCGTTCGCGGCGAGCGCGCTCAGTTCCAGCACGTCGCTGCCCTCGTCCACCAACCGGTTTATCCTGTCCCTAACGAGAAGTTTCCCTCTCGCCGTGTGCCTTTTGACCGCGTCCAGGGGGCCGCCTTTGATTGCGTCGTCCGTTTTCGAGCGCAGCTCTCCCACCAGCTCCTGCATTCTCGCCTTATTGTCCTGGTAATAGGGGTCATTTCTGTTCGGCTCCGTTCCGATGATGCGCCCGTTGCCGTAGTGACGCCGCGGGGCGCTCAAGCGCCGCACGCCCCTGAGCAGTTTAAGCATTTTCGCGGCGTAAATTACGATACGGAACACGGCCAGTCGGCAGGCGGCTGCCTCGCAACTGGCGACCGTATACACCGTTATCTACACGATTAAGACGCACAAAAACAAAATTCGTCGGGCGGTCGACCGACCCGACCGGTTGATAAAAACAAGTATTTATTTATGAAATGATAATGCGACCCATTGTAAGAGGACGATTGCTGTAATGCGCACGATTTGTTGATGTAAAATTTTTACATATTGACGGACGGCAACATCGATTTTCGTGTGTTCAATATATATTTTAAAAATATAAATGTAACATGTATATACAATAATGTATTTCTTCTACTCTATTCTAAACATCTAAAAATAGTAGGTAAATTCTAATATGTTTTTCATGAATAAACCCTATTCTATACTTAGCCTATATAACTATAACGATCATTGATAAAAAAATCATACCTAAGTAAAACATTATTACACAAACATTATAATACCGCATTTCTGTAACTTGGATTGGTAACCTTGGGTTTTGTCAAAATTCGAGATTACATAAAAAGCTGAGTGTCCACTGAAGTGTATCACATCCCATCCCATACACCTGCATGTCAATAACTTCTAAATTTCTAACAGCATTGAGAAATTCGCATCTGCAACTACGGGTGTCTCAATGTTCATGGGCGGCGGTTATGAAATATTAGTTATATATATATAGTTAGTTATATACGACACGGACGAATCATTTTATTGGGTTGGCCGCGAGATGGCGACTCTTCCTGAGACAGGTGTTTCTCGGATTATTCTGCGTTTTCGATTACGCTGCAATCGTAAAAGCTGATTCATCAATTATCTGGAATTAAAGCTAATAATAACCCGAGTATGCTGTAAGTAAAACATGTGTAACAAAAATTATTTACGCCGGTATAATTGATTTTTTATGTCGGCTACACTTTGAAGGTTATAAAGCGAAAAAAATTTCCACACTGCCGGTTGATATATAATAAAAGCATACCATTGAATTGATATATAATATAATAAAATCCATTCATGAGTTGTAGTTATTGTAATGTCCCGATAAATAATCGTAATTCAAAATCAACGTATGGCTATTAATAATCGAAATTTCAAATCTTATTTGCTGTACCTACTCCAAATTAGTGATTTCATCAAAGCCCATTTTTTTTATATGTACTAAAAACATAACTTAAACAACTATTGATCACAGGAATATGGATTTGAAAATCATGACGTTACATGTTATTTGTTTATAGCAATCCTTTTTGTCGGTTACATACAGTAAATAAGTTTTGTTCCGTAGAATATTTTAAGGTTAAGTCATCAACTATTTATAGACGATATAATCGAGTTATAAAATGATACGTCAAGTGACTTTCGACATTTGTATTTGAACTTTGATCTTTCGTATATAAGCAAACATATTTTGTGATTTCTACAACGTAGTTCAATACTACAAACGCACATGTCACGGTGAATTAATTTTGCATTTGGGCCGATTCTACACTTGTTCCGCTCTGACATGGCGCTTAGCCTAAATCAAGCACGAAGCTACATTTGGTGGAGTAGCTATTATATAGAGACGAAATTTCATACGATAAATGGCTGCTGCTGATTTTATACCTAAATAAGTGTGTATAATTGCATCAAAAAAAATAACAAAAAGAACAAGACCGCAGAGTTTCTTGCCGGTTCTTCTCTGTGCAGGTCTAGTTTAGTAAACCGGTGGTAGATTTTTTGTTGACGTTCAATAAGAGCTTAAGTTAGGCCTATATTGAATAAATATACTTTGACTTTGACTTTGACTTTGAGATAAATATCCTACCCGAAGATCACGATTACATTGTTTTTTTACAATTATGAATGTCCTTTCCTGGATGATTCTACCACCTTTTTAAATTTCAACCCATTATTGTTACAAATAGCGAATTTTTATGTACGCCCACGTATACTTAATCGGTATACTGACTGTTTTCTGCTACTGGAGACTAATACCAACCAACTGAAACACGGAATTACAATTCCACGTGAAACACCTATTCGCTTGCTAACTTGTCACATCCAAAAATCATTAAATTAGATTTTGGACTACACCAAGTAAATGTGAAAGTAAATTCCAAAATGTATAAATCCTTATAAGTAAGATTTATTTAAGTTCCTTCAACGTTTTCGAGTCACTAACAAAATATATTTTTTCAGGATCGAGATGAACAGACTAAATTGGAGATGAAACACCGTCAAGAAGAAGACGACTTGTACAGAAAGTTCTCTAAGCACCGCGAAGAAGAGAACAGGAGAATACGGGAAGAGATTCAGGTAAGCGTTTGGACAATTTATGGACAGCAGAACATTAACAAGGGATTTAAATAGATAAGTGATTATTTCATTTTTAATCGTTCAACGAGTACGATCGTTGCTCGGACAGTAAAACTAATAAACTTAACATGATTTTCAATGGTTTCATGAAAACAAATTTAGAATTTCGACGTACGTCATTCAAGTACGTCATTCTAACCAACGTTGGTTAGAATGACGTACTATATTTTCCTTTTGATGTAAATCGAACGAATTTACTTTATTTTTTATCTATAATGGGCGTGATAAAGTTGTCGCGAAATAAGATTTTTTTTAATTCGAAATAAGATTATAAACACAAACTAGCAAGGCAGGAGCAAAGGTTAGGTTCGTGATATTTCTAAGCTTGACATTGTCGCACCTCTCTATTAACCTTGTTAAGAGTAAGCACACAGCTAGAGGTGAGGAAATTTTTTATCAGAATAAAAATTCACCTTATGCGTAAACCGTATACAATAAAAATACAATTCAATAATGTATGTATTGGTTGATGTACATTGTTTATAAAAACTTGAAAGAGTTCTTGGCTACGGCGTATTGTTGGCAGAAATATAATCTCAAATTTAGGAAAACTTGTGCTCCATACAAAGTCGAACTGACTTGTGTTTTAATGAATAATGAATGAAATGAATAATGAATGAAATGTATTTTACCACTAAAATTAAAATCTGTCTAAGATGCAAATCTTCTCTACAGTTTTCTCCTCAATTAGTAATAAACAGCTTGTTTTACAATTATCTTGAATCTTCAAGATTAGATAATATCTGCCAACTAGTAATAGGAAATAATAAAAACCAGAAGGGTATTTAAAATATATTAAATAACATTTACAGTGTGCTAAAAATTCTTCATAATCATTGTAACATCTTCGCGACCTTGGCTGTGTGGACCACTAAAGATAATCCGACAACCGGTTTTCCTAATAAAACCACATTACGAAATACCCAAATAAAATTCTTTATAACGTAACAAACACAAAGAGTACCCGCAGTTGTATTATGACACCACGCAGCCACGAGAGCCGATTGTAGTCAATTTGAATTAAACTGTCATTATAAATTATTAGAAAGAAATTTATTTAACATCATCAAAAATAAAAAATAAGGCATCCAGGAAAAAAAAAGGAAGTACCTACATTAAAATTATAAATAGTAGGCTATCATTATTATCCATTTCGACAGGCAGTGTCATGTTAAATGGCTGTTCCTCCTCGGCTCCTCCTTGCCTGTTTTCAGTGAACCCTATTAGACCGAGTCGGGGAAAAAATATATATAAAAAAAACTTTACGAGTAGAATAACATAATACACTCGGAGACATGACATTAATATAAAAGATAAAATAAAAGTAGAAACAAATCAATAAAAAATAAATAAAGAGGAAACACTAAAACATTAATATAATTATGAAATGAAACGTAAAAAACAGCATTTTTTGATTATATAAATTCCAAAATGTATAAAATCCTTATAAGTTTAATTTTTTGATACAAATATTTAACACAACATAGCACAAGGAAATGGCTGCGTTATACATAATTTATTTTTTGTAAAAGAAGATAGATTTTGTACATATTTTTAAATGTCTTTGTATTGTGTATGTATGTGTGTGTATTTTTAAATCTATATTAGTACTACTACTAGTGTCTGCCTGACGATAAGTTAGATGTATACATACGTTTAATTCAAATTCTTAGTCTAGTAAGGGCATACTTACTTAGTTCTAATTCCAATAATAACATATATATACACTTATAACTAGATATGTGGGTTACAATTTTACTAGAACTTGACATAAATTTATATGACATACATATAATATTTCATAGATAAATATATACAGGTTTCATATATAAAATGGCAATTTCATAGGTAAATACCTAATATCTGGCCGCCCTAGCCCAGGCCATGGGGCTTGTGCCGGTTCCGGGGCTGTGCAGCCAAAGTTGTCTGGCGCCTAGTTACATTTACCGAAACAAAAGTATACTTCAATATCACCACGCTCTTTTTTGAGGATTGGATACTACCTCAATCGAATCGAGCAGCAGGGGCTGTTTTGTAAGCTGGTGTGTCTTCCATGAACAAGTGAATAGAATAAATTTTCTTTCCTCAGGATGAATGGGAACGTGAACTGGAAAGGCTGACATCACGCTTCCAGCAAGAGATGCAGGTGAAGAAGAGGAGGCCCGACTCGGAGATCGGAGCGCTAACGCTCCGCCACCAACAGGAGAGGGCGGACTTGGAGAAGAACATGACGCTAAGAAGGGACAAGAAGAAAGAGAGCCTGACGAGAAAGATGCTGGAACATGAAAGGTTGGTCTACAGAGAGAAAAAGATATAAATGTTGACGTAAGATATCACCGCTTTTACCCATTCGGAATTTACCAACGGTAGATATTTGTAGCTATGCACTGTCGTAGTATTGTGTTGAGAGATAACATTTATCTAATTTAATGTGGGCTAATTTAATGGATGAAGGTTGCTCAGTTGCATATGTTGAGCAGTGGAGTCAAACAGGCTGAAATGATGATTATGATGATTAACGGGCTGCTCAGTTTCGATTTCTTGCCACGTAGACCAGGTTATTGCTAACAGCAAGCACATTTTTTTAGGGCGGCCACCGCGGCGCTGGTGGAGAAACAAAGCCACGAGATGATGGAGCTGATCCAGGAGCGCCGCTCGGAGTACATGGCCGCCTCCTCCCTGTTCCTGGACGGGGAAGAGGCGCCGCCCTACCCCGCCCGCGCCCCCGCCCCCCAGCCCCCGCTGGTCTCCAAGTTCCACATCTACACAGATCCCGCGGAGTTCACGGAAGTCGACAAAATCGCTATATCGGTACGCGAACTTTTATTGTGGCTGTTATTTTATTATAGGAATTTTTCAATTGCCCTGTTCCAAGAGGAAGAACGAACGACAAGAAGAACCGTGAAAATCCACAATACATTCGATTCCAGAATATATCAGTGCGCCACCAAAACTAAGAACCCAAGCAACTGAGAATCCAAGGTGTAGAGGCTCATCATCGTTCTCCTGCCCTTATGCAACCTACGTTGCGTCGGGACAACATGTGAATCATGTTGTTACATTGTTTAACATTACTGCTTGCCCATGTCATCTAATGAGGTTCCATTTATTGACCAAATGACGTTTTAAAATCAATATTTCAAACTGTGTAAGTAAGTAAAACTGTCTCAAATTTTTCAACTTAAATGCTGCTGAATATCCTGATTCAAACTACGTAAAGTTCATACAAACAATGAGAGAAAATAAAAACAAGGATATAAATAACTTCAAATATGAAATCGACATTCGAATATTGCCACAGAGGTCATGGATGTCGGTAACCACATGCGTTTCCTAATTGATAATGTGTGAAAATATTCCACTCAATATCATCTCAGCACTAAAACTAAAAAAAATAAACGATTATTTAATTACAAAGAAGAACTATTATAACGTTTTGAATTATTATTAAGCGCGATGGTACACAGAAACAGAACTGGTGAAATGAAATAGGTGAAAGCAACAACTCGGTACAAGTATATCTGTTGGTATGAAGTAATCGCATCGACTCAAATGTATTCACCAGAAAGAAAGCCGAACCGAAAAGAATTAGCAATCGGCTTAATTGCTTAATCGAGATTTGTGCTGATAAAGTCCACTGTTGTTCCGTTAAGGTTAACGCCTTGCATCAAACTAAACATGCGGTTACTTCGTCTTTGTCTAATTACAGTCTTTCTCTTTCTTTGTAATCGTATTAATTCCATGCAGCTCTGGCTGAGCATGAATAAGTTGGCTCGACTGAGAAATTCTCAGACCCTACAATAGACCGACATATATTTTTGGGCTTTTCTATCCCCGTGTACTAGTAACCGCTTACTATCACGTCGACCAATTCTTTGTTTACAACCTCTTATTCAGAAAGTGCTTGATTGAGATCTGTGTCTGTCAGATACATCGGCTTTGCCCACGTGTTGCTTCGTTTTCCTTTGTTCTATGTTCTCTTAAAGTGTTTCTTCACTTTTTGATTTATACCTACTCTTATTATGGCGTATCATTAAGGTGGCTCAAGAAGACCAGAAGACGTTCACGGACCTCGTGCGGCAGCTGGTGGGCCGCTGCGCCAGCGACGTGGAGAAGGCGAGGACGATATTCCGCTGGATCACTGTGAAGAATCTCAACAACATACAGTTCGACGACAACCTCAGGGGCGACTCGCCCCTCGGCCTGCTAAGGGGCATCAAGCACGGCACCGAAAGTTACCACGTTCTCTTCAAGAGATTATGCAGGTATCCAAACAGCAACAATTAATTCTTCTGTAAAGTCAATAACAATAACTTACGCCCGGTTTCTGAAACACTGATCATCGTAGATGTCAACTAATCAGCTGTCAAATGGTTTTCAAATTTCATTTTAGTTGCCAAAAGGATGGTTCAATTCTTTGGATTGATCGTTCTGATCACTAGAAGGTCATTCTGATCATGATCTGGTCATGATCAGTGTTTCAGAAACCGGCCGTTAATGTTATTAACACTTTTTATATTTCTCAAGACATTTTATTATATCTGTACTACTACTTTAATACATCATTTAGTACCTTAATCATCATCATCATCACCAATTCCAATTAAAACCTGAGTAATATACAACTTGTATTATTATCATTGTCCTAACATACACGGTAAAGTTAAGGTCTCGTCTAGTAGAGTAAAAACCATTTGCTAAAATAGCATAAAAATAGAACAGAAATATTTTTATACACTTTAGTGCATTATTAATATTAACGGCAACTACAATATTATAAACAATGCCATCTGAGGCGTAACATAGAATTCTTTGTCTTTTAAGATTGAAACTACTTTAGCACGCATAAAACCACCGCGATTCTTTGTTGTATATTATCAGGTTGGTGGATCTTAAAGTGTTCACGTAGTATTAATGTTATTTCCATTTCCCATAACAGTGGTGAATGAAAGAAGAAAAAACATCATGTGAACTTACATTTGCTTATGTTCGCGAGTGATCATTGACCCTTGTTTAACACGTGGCATGATTAAAACAGTTAAATCTTACTCAATCAAATTCAAAGTCAATATCTTTATTCAATATAGAAGCATTATTACACTTTCTTATTGATGGTCAAAAAGCTATACTACCGGTTCGACCTGAAAAGAACCGGTGAAAGAAACTCAGCGGGACATTTTTTCCTTTTTGTACACAAATTATTAAATACCACTTGAAAGAGCATGGAGCGATCAATTAATTTCCAGAGTGTGTTATCATTCAAATAATCACTACACAATCTCTCATTTTTTCATTGTTCATTTTAGTATTATTGACATCAAGGATTTTAGTTGGAAAAAATATTTTTCTTAATTACCTACTGCGACGTAAATGTGAAGGATCAATGAAGCAAATAACTTCTAATAACTCTCGTGCTCATTAATTTTGGCCGTGTTTACTCCGTGTCGCACTTGAATGAATGAATGAATACACTTTAATTGTCCACCACAAATAAGAGTATACATAAAAGTAACAATGGAACAACAAATTTATGCAATGCACAATTTGGCGGCCTTATCGCTTTGTGGCGTTTCCGAACTTCCGAACCCATCAACAACGCATTTCCGGAACGAGAGTTCGGAATAGAGACGATATGTCATTGACAGAGTTTAAGAGAGGAACAAAAGAGGACACGTAATTATACGAGCATTTTATAACTTGTGGAATATTACCATATCGTTTGTGGTACTATATTGCTCTGATGTTTCATATAGTGTATTGCTTGTGTAACCATAATTTGCCACATGGCTAATATAACTAATAAACAGTTTTATCCAGTGTGTGCTTTTATTGAGGACTTGCCCACGCTGGCGCTTACGGACACAGAAGTGACCATACATATCCCTCAGCTTCATAGCGATCTCTTCCAGGCAACCAATAGTGTAAAGGAAACTTATACTACGAACCAAATTGCCTATCGACTTCGATGCTTGGAATAGTGGATTCTATTCCCACATAGAACAATTATTAGTGTGACCCACAGATAACTGCTTCGGATCTGGGTGTTTTGTCCGCGTGAAATTTATTTATGGAAAACGTCCTTACAAGATATGATAATGACAGCCAACCAGTAAGGGCAAAAGAATATGAGAAAAACCTGGTCCTTAATGTATGAAAAGGTTGTTTTTAAGAAAACTTAGCAAACATGAAACTTTTCACCTGATGATAATTGATAACTGCAACACATGGACTACTTCACCTGAAATCCATTTCAGGTGAATTGAGAGATTTTGAAGGATTAGATAGATCTCTGGTTACCTCACTTGGCGAAATGCTATGAACATTTCCAATTAACGCCAGTCTTCTTTGTACTATTATAATAATTAGATATAAGTGCGGTCGAGTGCAGTTGTACGCTTTGCTTCCTCAGCTGATGACCTAGAGCTGGTAGACCCGATTAGTGTCCTGTCCTTAGTCCACGTGTAGTTGATAGTGAACCTGTCCCAGGATTTTCACAATTTGTTCCAGTAGTGGGTTCCATCCCCACTACTGAATAAATATAAAACCGTTTAAAAACTTTTAAGTTATTTTATGTTTTTTTTTTTGTTAAATTTTTTTTTTGTTAATATTGTATTGTCATCTAAATTAAATGTGTGTACCAAATTTCAGATCAATCTGACAACGGCAAGGTGGTTAAATTTCAATTTCTAATTTTGACCCAAACAAACAAATTCCGTACGGGTGGAGCTAAATAAAACCGTTTAAAAAATATTGTGATCTGAACTTAGTTTTTTTCTAGTGTCTGGGTAATGGGTCCATAATTTATATGATATGTTTATCAGTTACCTAGTAACTAGATAATATGGAAAGTAGTATTATAACGTTCTGAATTATTATTCAACACGATGGTACGTGATTATGGAATTATTGAGACGAAATAGAATCTGTTGCATGAAGAAATCGCCTTGACTCAAATGTATTCACCAGAATGAAAGCTGAACCAAAAAGAAATAGTAATCGGCATAATTTCTTAATCGAGAGAGCTTCTTCTTCTTAGTCGTTCCCTCACTGCTGAGGATCAGGACTCATATTCAAGTGGTCAACGAGCTGTCATCGGTTTCGCTCCATCGCCTGGTGGAGTGGGGCGCTTATGGGGATTTCCAGGGTTTCAGAGATTTGATCCGCCCACCGTTTATAATTACGACCTCTAGGTCTTTAACCCTCTATTTTCTCCGTCACCATCAAACGCTAAAGATTTTCTGCTCCTCTGCGTGCAATATGGCCAAGGTGCAGAAAGTGCAGAAAGCGCTGAAGGCAGACTGTGTACCAACGATGGGCATTTTCTAATGAAACTTAGTAGTAGCCTTAGCAGTTTGGAGCTAGACAATGTAAACATGTCCCAAAATATTTTACATAATATAAAAATTACTTATTATTTTTTTTAAAAACCATTACTATTTTTTTATTATTATTTTTATGAAAATTAAATACTTTATTTTAAATATAACTAGGCACCCGCCCTAGCTTCGCACGGGTGCAAACTATTATACATATAAACCTTCCTCTTCAGTCACTAGTAAAAAAGGACCGCATCAAGATCCGTTGCGAAGTTTCAAAGATCTAAGCATACATAGTGACAGACGGACATACAGCGGGACGACTTTGTTTTATATTATGTAGTCATAATAACACAATTTCCGTTTTAATTTTATATAATTGTAATTTTGATTGTGAACCATTTTAGTTGTATTCTATTGTTTCGCGTGAATTATTCAAAACAATTTGTGTTGTTAAGAACAAAGGAGTGAAGGATTAAACGCTTGTCCAGCTACGCCGGCCTGCACTGCGTGGTGATAAAGGGCTACAGCAAGTCCGCCGGCTACCAGCCGGGGGTGCGCTTCGAGGACAACCGCTTCCGCAACTCGTGGAACGCGGTGTACGTGGCGGGCGCGTGGCGCTTCGTGCAGTGCAACTGGGGCGCGAGGCACCTCGTCAACGCGAAGGACGCGCCGCGCCCTGGCAGCCGCGGCAAGCAGGACAGCCTCAGGTACGCCCTGGACTCGATTCCCTCCGCCGTAAGGTCCGTTTTCGAACGGCCGGCGCGGCGCGACAGTATTTATTTATTTATTTAAACTTTTACACAAAAAATTTGTATTGTGTATAGGCGGACTTAACGCCTAAGGCATTCTCTACCAGTCAACCTATGGGCGACGCAGAGACAAAAGAGGCAGGTGTAAAAAGTTTCAAATCAAATTTTAAGTTAAAATAAAAGTTATATACATATTCATATATAATTAAATTTAAAATATATACATGAAAATGTATATAGTATATAAATAGTATAACACAAGGCCATTTAGAGGTCTGGAGCCCCTCGTTATTTTCTATTGATTTCTGTTAATATTTAACGTAATCATGTTTATGCAAATTACTGTAGGTAAAAGTAAAACGCGAATAGAAAATATGAAAGGAAAAGTTGTTTACCAGTCTGAATTCGAAGTGCCCTCCCCTAAGTCCGGCCCTGGTATAACAGATAACTAACGGTGCGCAGGTACGAGTACGACGACCACTACTTCCTGACGGACCCGCGCGAGTTCATCTACGAGTTCTTCCCGCTGCAGCCCGACTGGCAGCTGCTCAAGACGCCCATCACGCTGCACGACTTCGAGGAGCTGCCGTTCGTGCGCTCGCTGTTCTTCCGCTACGGGCTGTACTTCAGCGACCCCAACACCAAGGCGGTCATGTTCACTGACTCCACGGGTGAGCCGCATTCAATTGGAACTTGTCGGAACGGCCTGAGATGATGGTGATGACGATGTCGAAGAGGGGAATCCCTCGGATGCCTTAGGAACAATAACTAGGAGTAATAATAACATCATTCAATCAATCAATCAAACAGCCTAGCAGTCCACTGCTGGATATAGGACTCCCTAAGGGCACGGCCTTCCTCTTTCCCCATCCGGCCACTACCAGCGAGGTCATCAGGTCCAACCGACAGGAACGTCCCACACTACGTTTTGGTTCCGGGAAGTGATCTCCATTCGAGATCCCGTCTACTCCAATTACATGGACTCCAAATATCGTGCAAAAATCACACTCAGCCACAACAGGACACCATTAACTTAAAGCGCCAAAACTACCATAATATAGATATAAGTCTCAAGTTGTACTTGTATAGTATGGTAGTTTTACTAAAACAGTTGTGCGGTAGTGGATGACTTTGCAATATTTCAAACGAATTGCACTATACCTCCCGCTTTTAGGCAATGATGAGCAAATGTGAGTGAATTTTGTTCTTTGTCAAATTTCATAATGACACCATTTGTAAATTTTTACGGCGGTACATACGCACAAGCTTTACCTTTATTTATTTATATAATATATTAATTTGTAATTGTTATTTTTCCTTTATAATTCATAAGTTAAAGTTGAATATTATATGTTATAATTGTAGGTATAATTATACAATTATACATACGTATAGTTACGATTGAAAAATTATGTTTCAGGTGCGGCGACTATGCGCATAGCCATGCCGGCACACATGCAGAGCTCGCTTATCTTCCACTACAACCTGAAATTCTATGATACTGAGGGCGACGGCTTCGACGGAGTCAGCCTAAAGAGATTCGTCATGCAGGTGCTCTGACAGAAATACGTAGCATAAAATAAATAAATATATTTTGACCTTATAAGACCTTTGAACCTATTTAGAACCACACGTGGTGATAAAAACCAAAACTCGATCGTGCAACTGAATGTTTGTTTTAAAAACTGTTCGCGAATTACACCTCTGACCACCTGTATCCATACTGCTTAGTTTAAAAATGGTTCCGCTTCACATTATATGACGTACATAAATGAATGTAACAGATGATACAAACGTATGGTAAGGAAGGACATTGCAGCCTATAGAATTGCAATCTAATTACATCAATTGGTGTATTTTGTGTGCCACAATTCGGTGCCCCGGTGTCACTATATATCTTTGTATATAATATTAAACATCAATGGTGCTGAACGATACGTTTAGCACAGTAAATAGCATGTTTCCAAAAAGAAATGGCGACATCTCTCGTTCGAATTATCGTTGTAAAACGATATTCGAAATTGTTTGTATGCTGGGAAGGATATAACAATGTTGGCGCCAAGCATTGCTTCACATGCTAAAAACAACGTAGACAAAAGTCGTTGAGATTTTCGTCGGCGTGGCAATCAGCCGCTAGCTTAGTTGCTGAAGCGTCAGGGCGCGGATGCCGAAGACGTGGGTTCGGTAACCACGGCGGCGACAGACTTTTCGTACTTTTTTCTAATTTGAAACGTAGATAATATATAAATATATATTATCTACGTTTATATATATTTAAACTATTTATTGACACCAATCACCGATTTAATTATAACACAAACGGACAGAGTTCCGCCTTCGTAACACAATCGTAAGCGTGCCTCGAAATGGCATTTCGGGCTATTATGACGTCTTCTTGACAGTTGAATGTGACGTCACAATAAACAACAGTGGCGCTAGATCAATGTTTCCGGTTACTGTTATTACGTGGTTTTGGCGAAGCATCGCTTGGCATAGCACGGCCTTTCTTGGCTGGGCTCTGCTCGGTTTGGTTTGGCCTTGGCATAACGTGGCGTGGCGTAACAGATAATAGTAAATTTCAACGTAAAACAACCGCTTCGTTCCGCAGTCCGTTGTGGGCAACGTGGTGTCGTTCCGCGTGCACGCGCCGTGCAGCGGGGCGTTTCTTCTGGACATATTCGCGAACGCCGTCACGCCAAGGGAGTACCTCACGGGCGAGCCCATGAAGTTCAAGAGCGTCTGCAAGTTCAAGGTGGGACCGATGAGCGGCGCCACCGGCGACCCCCAACTTTAAGGGACACGTAAAAGTTTGAAAACGAAACTAGCTCTTAACATCTTCTCGAAAACGTGTATGAGCAATGCGAGTTATTATAATTTTTTTTTAAAACATTGCCGTTACTGTAGGATAGCGTTTGCGTGTGTTGTGAGAGCGATTTACAGACATAAATTTCAACTGGACAAACATCCGAAAAAATAGTTGTCCCGTGCGGGAATCGAAGCCACGACCGCCGGCAAAGAAAGCCAACCATATTCCCTCTGTACAGAGGAGGCCTTTGCACAACATTGGGACATTAATAGGCTATTTATTATTTTTTACTTTACATATCGAAGATACAAATTTAAAGAAAATCAGCCACCACCCGACCGCTTGGCAGATGTAAAAAATTGTACAATTGTATATTTTCAGTTCAATTTAAATATTCAACGGTGGGCTATTACAGGCTGAAATGATGATGAAGATCTTTCATCGATCTCGTTCCACACCATTCCGATAACTTATTGTTATTCTTTTTTCAATACAATGCCCTTACAAATAAATGATCCTATGTTGTGAAAGCGATTTACATACATAAATTTCACGCGGACAAACAACGGACCAGATCCGAAAAAAATATCTGTGGGTCACACAAAGTTGTCCCGTGCGGGAATCGAAGCCACGACCGCCGGCACAGAATCCGTCCTTTTACGTATTGATATTCAACTTGTCGTTTCAGATATGCTGCGCGGAGCTCCAAACGGTAATGGTACCTTTACCGGACTGCGCGAGCGGTGAATGGGGGCCCACAAAAGCCACCAGGCTCTTCGGTCTGGTGCCAATCACACACCAGGTAAGAACATTGTATCGTGGAAACGGTCACCCAATGTTAAGTGATAACCCCCGCCCGTTGACATAATCATGCAACAGGTTGTAGATGCGTTGCCACCTATTAATGGGTTCCGGCAACCTCACCAGACGAAACGCAGAAGTATAACATTTCCCCTTCACACCGGTCTTCTGTGGGGTTGTGGTACTTCCTCCGATAACCTGCCCATTCGTGCAATAGCGAAGACTGTTGCGTGTTCCCACAGTGGTCGCGTTTATTTCTAATCCCTCATTCTCCATCTTAAGCTTTGCGCCATTCATGTTCATGGACGAGACTCGATTGCTATCCCGGCAATAACTGGCCGCAAGTGTTTCGTGTTCTAAGACTAATCTTTTCAAAGGATATCACACAACATTTGTTCACATCACAATAATTATTCTTCTTATATCGCAACACTAAAATAAAACTACCCTAGCACCATCCATACGCCGTAAGATCGCGCCGTATCTATGCTATACTTTACAATGACGTACGTACGCCGTATGACGTCACTAAAACGCGGGCCCGGAAAAGAGCGGACAATCGCTCCGAGCTCGGTGAGCTACTAACGACGAGGTGACATACTTAACGCGCAGGAGGCGCTGGTGTTCGCCGGCCGCGAGCTGGAGCTGCAGTTCCGAATGTCGCGGCCACTCGCCGACTTCATGGCCACACTGCACAAGAACGGCGTCGAGGAGAAGAGGCTCGCCAAGTTCGTGCAGCAAGCGGTCGCCGACGACGTCGTCACGTTCTACATCACCTTCCCCGAAGAAGGTACGTCTACTACGTAACAATTTCGACTTTATTTCTCACGGAATAAAGCAGTTTTTAACATCTGCTCAGATGTTTACGATTATTTATGACAAGTCTAGAATGGCCTACATCTGATAAGATTACGATTACCTACTTATAAAAGTCTAGAACATCAATACATCATTTTTTCACTGAACAATATTTTTAAATGATAAAGAACCTTAACCAAAGTTACAATTACCAAGGAAAATCACCGTGCATGCCTACTTTTCACAGAAAAAAAAAAATTCGTTAGTTGTACTAAGAAAATTTGCCGTTACCTGAGTTGCGCACCATTCATGCGAATTTTTTTACTTTGTCGGAGAATACTTGTGGCCTGTTCTATACCATAAATAATATGCAACCATTATAAGACCTATAAAGATAACATCGCGATCTAATTTATTATATTTTTTTTACAACAGGTCAATACGGCCTTGACATTTACACGCGCGAGAGGGGCAGCGCGTCCACCGTGCAACAAAATGGCTCCACGGAAAAGGAGAAACACCTCCTGACACACTGCTGCAAGTACCTTATAAACAGCAGCAAAAGGAACTGAGCTTGGCGCACGTGTGAAAAAAAATTGATCCGAAATGTCTGCGGTTACACAAAGATTTGTATAAACATATAAATCTCGCACGAAACGCAGTTACGGGCGTATTGCAATCTCTTTGTATCGACACGGTCAAAGTTTTCTTGAACAAATATTTTTTTCCAATTAGCTTGTAGTATTACAAAATATAATTGAAAAATGTTAAAGGGTCAAGATGACTTTTTGAGATAATATCTTGGATTTTTACTTTAACTTTGGAAGCATCATAGAGTTTATTTTATAACTGTGCTAAAAAGTGTGGTTCAATAAATAAACCCAACAACGTATAAAGAAATTTCTCTGCAATTAAAATAAATGATAAGAAATCTACAATTAAATAATGTGTTCTTATAAAAATCAAACCTAATTTCCGTATAAACTGTCTTGGTAGAATGATTTATTATTATCATTAAAGTAAAATGCGTTTTTACACATTTTTCTAAGTGCCTTATTAACATGAAAGTTACCTAAAGGCTTCTTAATTGAACATTGGTATACTGCAGATATTCCTTTTAAAGGTAAAATTACGCACTTGTTAATAAAAATATTGAATAATTGATAAAAATTAGTCGTTTTCACTTCAAAATATCTGAATAATTACACTAAAGAATAAGATAACATGCAAAGAAATGCAATAGAAGTAAACCCCTATTGACTGGTAAATATTCTTAACCTTATAATATTGTTCATTAGTACCTAATTATAAAAGAAATATATTTAATAATATTTTATACAAATATATACTGTGTCAATGTGAGCACTTGCTCCACAGCAAGGTGGCTGACATTTAATATAATTATCAAATATATGTCTACCAAAAAATATGATTTCAAAATAACTACAGACGAAAATGATTTATTCAAGTTTTAAAATTAGATACTTATGTATGAAGTTTTATATCAAAATGTAGATAGCATAGATTTATTATTTAGAATAAAGTACATCCACCATCACACATTACATTATTAATGACATATCTATAAAAATATGTCACTGATTTATTTGTTAGTGCTATTAATTGAGTTTATTATTTACACAAAACTACGTTAAGTTCGAGAGGTTGTGCTGAAGCAATGCAATTGCTATCATAGCTAAGTTTATGTTTACATTTCTTGATGCTGTAAAAAATTTTTTATTTTTCCTGTTTAGGAAAAATAAAAGTTTAGGACACTCAAATATTAAATATGTTTAATATGTACGCTTACACGATAAAAGGTCGATGTAAATTGCTTTATTTCATTCAATTATCTTCATATTCAATCTTATTTTATAACCATACAAAATGAAATATGGCAATTTATCAATGACGATTGATGTAGGTTTATTGAGAAATTAAAAATGTTAAATGTGTTTAATTTATAATCAATATATTTTAACGCACTCAATATGTAAATTTTTATAAAATATATGGCATGTTACTTTTCTACTAAGAGTTTATTTTTTTATTATATAATATACAATTAAAGTGAGCTCCTCACATAGGACGGCAATAAATTCCTTAACGGAATGGCACTTTAAATAATAATAAATATATGCTAGATGTCTTAGTAAAAAAAAAAAACATACAGATCCATAGTTAATTCATGCTTGTGGTTCGAGACATTTGAAACTTACATTTTTTTATTTACGTACCAAAGCGAAGTTTTGAGAATACATCTTATTTATTTAAAAATTTATTGTATACACTTCAACTTAAAAGATAAACAAAGGATAAAAAACTTAATGATAAAGCATTCTCTTCCAGTAAACCCTGGGAGTAGAGAAAATCTTATTAAGTATACAAGCATTTAGCTTATTAAAGAAAAAAGACAACAGGAAAAGAGGGAAAAATAATATCATACTGAGACAACAATACTTACATATAAAATTTCTTACAATTGTTTGAAAGTTCATATAAATATGAAACACAAGTTTTAAACGGTGAAAAATACCACAAAATGTTTAATCTAAAACGAAAGATTAAAGATAGAAACTATTAAGCTTAGCTATTTAGCTACTAAAACTTTTTTTAAATTGAATTTTTAAGAAGATAAAAACTAATCCTGAAAAAGTTAATTGATAACTTTTTCAGGATTAGTTTTTACTTCAACATTTTAAGGATCTCCTTTACATTTACCTAATACAACCTTAGTGCCCAGTCATCATCATCTTGTACTAATAAAATTTCAGTTAGATATTGTCTTTTATTGCATTAGGTTGTATCCATTAATTTTTTGTAAATTATTGCTGAATTTCTGCATTCAAATTAACCTATAACTCAATCTGCTGACAAAAAATCATTTCTAAACCTAAAGTCTAAAGCCCTTCTGGGGATTTTATTAATAAGGCACTTCACAAACATTTTAAGTACCCTCTAAACATTTTTAATGTGACTATTTGAGAACAATTACAATACTTATTTCCTTATAAGGTAATATTGAATAAAAAAATGAAAGGACGATAAAATGGCATATTTATGCTAATGACAGATATGTTTGAGCAACAATTTTATTAAGTTTTATTTTAAAATAAGTAAATTGAGATCTAAAAGATATTTCTTTAAGTACAGTAGTGTAAAAAGCTTTATTACTTTGAGATTCATATATCACAAAAAGAAACCTACGAGTTAAATCAGTTAAACTTTTTTTAATATTTCACAATATTTTATCGTAGAGCTACATTTAATTTTTTCCTTATCACAATCTATAATCAACTGTATAATTTATTCGCACCACAAAATACACAATATGTCATCAACAATTAGTCATTAGTAGTTTTATACCTTTCAGTCAAAAAAATTGTTTTAGAACACAAACAGTTTTTTTTTAAGAATTATAATTTGCATCACAAAAAAAATCAATCATATTTATGACTGATCCAATGCTTATTTTCATGTAGGCACTTTCATATAGCCTTGACTTCATGTGCTTAAACACTAACTTATTTGCTATTAATATCCATTTACTTAAAGCTATGTTTTCCTAAGTGTAGTGAAGCACCTATCCAGAACTGATATACATTTAACACTGTAACAATTCAATTGTAGAAATCATTTTGGGCACAGTGCATTGGTCATTAATAAAAAAACCTAAAATTGTAAGAATTATCTGAATTCAATCTTGGTCATCAAATTTAATCAGTGAACAGTAATTAATAGTAAATTTCCTTCTTGAACCTCAATTCCTTAAACATGTCTCATATATTTTCTATCTATATATATTTGTGTTTTTCTATGTATATATATTTGTGTCCAAGAATCAGGAAATAATAATGTAAGTGCATAGAAATTAATCTTGTCCGTATTACTTTATGATTAGCTTTTCAAATATAGTAATACCTAAAATTATCAATTACCAACATTTTATCAGACAGATGTACCTAGTTTTTATTTCAATGTTCTAACCCAAAAATAACTATTAAGAGCTTACCCAATATTTTTTTTTTAATTTCATGTTATATTTTAATTTAACAACTTGTTTAAAGCTTGAAGCAACATATTATGTAAAAATAAGAAATCTTTACTACATATTGCCCACTATTCAACAGGGAAAGTGTGATATAACACAGCTCTTATCTGGAGTTTGGCCAAAGAAGTCTTCTACACAAGTCCCTTAGCAGCATTGAGAGTGGCCCGCTGTTCCACGCCACGAATTAAGGTGCCCAGCAGTCCTTCCATCTCATTAGCAGTCTCCCGCAATTGGGTATTGTCAAAGCATGAATCTTAAATGAATAAATTTGAACTCATATAACCATAAAGCATAGGTTTCCAAAGATAAACATAGAAATATATGTTAACACTGTTATGGGGTTCAAACACTTCAACATCTATACATCAACAGCACTTTAATGTTAGGAAACATTAAAGCGTTGTAACTAAATAATAATCAGCTACATATTCGAAAATCATCATCATAAGCCTATCACCGTCCATCGCTGAACGTAAGCCTCCCCAAAAGTGCACCAACTATCCCAGTACTGGGCAGCTGGCATCCATCCACTGCCAGCCTCCTTTCTTAAGTTGTCAGTCCATCATACTGCAGGCTGTCGCACACTATGTTTACCTAATTGTGGTGTCCACTCTAACACATGTCGGCTCCAATACATCTGGAGACATGGCCAGCCCACTTACACTCGATTCGAAAATAGTAGTAGTCAAGCAATGCAATATTTCGATGAGAAGTGGAAGTCACAGATAGATTATAAGTATAGAAGTCAACTGTGTGTTCAGCAGACTAATTAATAGTCGTTAAACAGTTGGAAGGGTATGAGAAACTGTAAAAATAGTACATTATTATACATTTCTTACCATCAGTAGCAAAGTTGTTTGTCAATATCTGTTGGAGACGGTCTAGTACTGTGTCCAGATCGGCGTTGAGTTCCTTCATCTTATCGTTGCTGCTCTCAACGGAGCGAATGTCATCGGCATAACGTTTCTCTGTCACGGAGAGACTGTGGCACTCCATAGGTTTTTGCTTGCCATGGATAGAATTGCGTGAGTGTTTAGGAGCCGCCGCCGACGCAGTTTCTGGAAAAATTAAATTGTTATTAATTATTAAGTTAAAGCACTTGTAAATTTAATATTTTTAAGCACTTTTACTGATGCCTTGCCGACCTGCGAATTGATAGCAAGCTCCAACGCCATCGTTTATAGATTTCACAAAATGGTTCGTAGAAAGGGGCGAAGTGATCACAAATTTGCGTTGGTGAAAACAGCGAATTATCGACCAAACATAAACGCGAATGTTCGTAATCGTGGCGAAGCGAAGAATGCTGACAGCTCCGGTCGAAGAAATAGACGTAATTATTTCGGAGAACGCTGCGGTAAGACCCGACAGCACTGCACGCACGCTTAGCGTAACACAATACAGTGCAGATTGTCGATTTTTCGATAGTGACGTTGTTGCTCTATCATAAATTGTTATGCTCGATCATTGATTGCATAGAAGTAACAACTTTCATTATTAAACACTTACCATTATACCAATTACTCATGTCGTTCATGGAAACGGTGGATATGCTGTCGGAAGTCGCGTGAACAACGACTGGTTTCAGCGCATCCCCTGACATGGTCAGCAGGTTCTGGCTGTCCGTCTGCTTGGACACCACTGAGAAGTTTCCAGAATCCATACTCAAGACTCGTGGCTGGTTCTTCGGATTCTCCGGCACCTTCGAATGTTTCTCATCCACAACTGGTATTGGACTGAACAGGTCGAAGGCTTGCGGTCGCTCAATTTTCTCAGTCATTGCAGTTTCTGTTTGTGCGTCGGTCGGTGCCAAGTTATCCTAGATCAAAATTTATAAAAGAAATAACATTTACACATATGACATGGCAAGACAAAATGCGTGTTATAAATTCAACTCATTACCCATAAAATCAACTAAAGAAATATTCAGATATAAAGATTCAGAGACAATGGGAACTCAATATTTGTAGTTAAATGTTTGAAAGTGAAATTAAATGTATAAACAGGTTTAAATCAACCCTGTACAGTAAAAGCTCTTTATTCGCAGGGTATATGTTCCGTCAATATGCCACAAATCCAGAAACCATGAATATGGAATGGTATTTTATATGGGATTATCCCCTATAATACGTTCCTAGGTGACAAAATAAAAAAAAATTATTAATTTGACCATATTGGTTAATTATTATTTTCAGGCTTAGCTAATAGTTTAAAGAATTTTGTGACTCTTTTTAGTTTTTAAAAGCTCCTTCAATTCACACTGATATTCAGCAGTGGCATTAGCAATTTGCCTCTTAAAAATAGCACTTTGTTCCATAGACGGATCAATTTTCATAAAGAAATCATCAAGTGTGTGTGCTGTGAATTTAACATTTCCTCCAAGTCCGTTTCATTCAAATATTCATCTTGCGATTCGAGCGACTTCTGAATGTCACTTCATTCTATCTGTTCAAACTCAGTTCATCCGCTTGCAATTTCGGCTATGTTTGCAGTTTACAAAGGATATTCAGATGGATAACGACATGTTGTATCTAACACTTTTTAAACGGTTTTATTTAGCTCGACCCGTACGGAATTTGTTTGTTTATTTGGGTCAAAATTAGAAATTGAAATTTAAGCATCTGACAACGGGAAGGCCGTTGTCAGATTGATATGAAATTTGGTACACACATTTAATTTAGATGACAATACAATATTGTAGTTTTCAGTGCACATAAAATAAAACCGTTTAGCTTTAAAGTTTTTAAACGGTTTTATTATCAATATGTATATACCGATTAGAAATCTTCGAAATTCGCGAATAAAGAAATCTTTAGCCGCGAATATATTATAAAGATATGAATAGAAATGGGTCGCATTTTTTTTAATGCACGAATAGTGAAAACGGGAATGAAGGATGCGCGAATAATGCGAATAGCTTTGACTGTATAGTACACATTACATAGTTACGGGTACAATTTTTTCTTACATTTTTGTCATTGAGACACATCATTGTTTTAAAATATGTTTTGTGTTCTGACCACAAGAGCCATGACGTTATTTACAGTTGCCTTTTAATTATGTTGATAAAATCGTAAATAAAATAAGCAAAAATAAAAATTTCGTATTCGCTTTAAATAATATTATTTTCAAATCGTGAGAGAAGTTCTTCTTAATTTTAAAATATATTTGTAGATCGGATATCACTTTAGAACAATTTCGAGCGCTTTCATGTTCAAGATATTTAGAATTAAAATGTTTTTCAAAATGTCATTGTTTGCCTTATATACTGTTAGTACTAACGGTGTCCCGTCGACTAACGAGTGTCGAGCGAATATATAAAAGAATATAAAAGATCCAATCTAAACTCCAGCATCTATATGTAACATATACATACAGAAGATGTTATATTACTAATCTCAACATTAGCTGGCAAGATAACACAACCCACAATCCATTTTGAATAAAACTTTCGCGCTAGAAGTGGGTTCGATTCCCACAGCGGCGAGAAACATTTCGTTCCTTTTTCCTACAAATTTTAATGTTTAATCTTGAGTGCAGAGTTTAGGACTATAAAAATTATAATTTCTAAAACTATTATTTGCAATACATCTATGTTCGCTAATATCTGTATCGGACATACAGACTATTTTGAAAATAAAAGATGTTTCACTTAACTCAGGCAAAGATTATCAATTACAAAAATGTGCTTATATTTCACTGATGTATTTTTTTTGGTGAAACTAAAAATATTACACTGGTAGTACACTCATTACTTACCTTTAATGCTTTCAGCCTTTCAATCTGAGTTGATATTAAACAAGAGTGCAGATCTACTTTGACTTTTAACTCATTCTCCGAATCCTTTACCGCATTTTGCAATTGTATGGACAGCTCTTTCAGAGCTCTGAAAATAAAATTGAAATTGTTTACACTAAAACTATTAATTATTCTATGCCACTCTTGTACTGACATCTAGAGAGTAAAAGTTTAGTTGAGACTACATATGTAAAAAATAATCCAAGTTGACCATCTTTTTTAATAGTAAGTTTGCTACATTATGATTATTTTAGATATGTTAAAATCTATATTCATATATAAAAGAGGATGTATGTGTGTTTATGTTCACTTAAAACTCCAGAACCTTTAGCCCAATTGATAAGTTTTTGTGTAACCCACTAATAATTGTTCCGGATCTGGGTGTTTGTTTCCCAAGGAGGGTTGACGTCAGACAGTCCGTCGGTCGTAAAAAACTTCAACCGTTTACAACATGACACACATATGGTGGGCGAACATGTATTGACAGTATACACTTGAAACTCACTATGTATAAAAACAAAAGTTAATTTTATGTCGCGTGTTCCCGCGTTGGTAAACCGACAAGTTTATTTGTTTTTGCTCAAGATGGCAAAATCAAAAATATTGTATACAAGTTCCGAGTGCGTTAAAATATCAAAAATTGGTAATAATTAAACAAATAATTTTTTGGTATTTTCTTCTAGGTGAACCGAATCGGACTGTGCACCAACCAGCTTGTTATTGCCATCCAAAATAATATTTTGGAAGTCAAAATGTAGTTGAAATTATAAGGCCCTAAAAGTAGCATTTTCACAGATACAAGCATCTGAATACTGAATTAGTTAAATAACATATAAGCTATTTTTACATCTTATTTTTTGATAAACTCTGCTTCCACTGTAGTACAACTTAACAAACACAAATTTTACAAGATTAAACATCAAAAGTCAACATTTATAGCAATATAACAATAGTTAGGATAGTTAAATGTTAATTAACTTTCTCTATTTACTCCATATAGGTGAAAATATCTGAAAGCTTGTTTATTAACATAGCATTTCATAAATTCATATTAGTTGGAAGAAATATATTGTGCTCTCACAATCAAAATGGTAAATGGTAGAAGAGCAAGTGAAGAGAACTGTAAATCCTCAAATTTACGCACTTGTTTTGTGTCTCCAATTGCATGATAATGTCTTGCAGGGTAGTCGCTGGGTTTTGTGCATTGTTTCCAGATGCTTTGCCAACTGTTGACGTAAATATAGTGGGTCGCTGTTCCTTCCTCCTACGAACCGATGCAGGGTGGTCAAATTTGTCCAAACATTTGTTTGAGTCCTTCTTGCTTGTCTTTCTCTTTCTTGTTTTTGTGCAGAAGAAGAACCGTCGCATTCCTTTTATGAATCCTAAGCATTCGGGTGGCTTAACCTTAAACAGGTTTAAGACATAATAACTTACCAATACTCAACTACGACACAGAAGACAACAACAAACAACAATTTTTTTTTTACACTATCACATTGAATTGTTATGTAAGTAACTAGTGGGTCATCAGTTAATGATGGTAACACATAAAGAAATAAATACATGAGTTTTTGGAGTTGCTCTTATAGCACCCAATTGTAATCAAAAGAACCATGCACAACTTATTGTGGTTAAGGCATGCAGCACTTCTATTGACGTGTATCATCACCAGACATGAGTGGATTGGATTAAAGTGGGAATGTTATACTTTTGAGTTTTGCTTGGTAACGTAACTGAACCAAATCATTTAAAGGTTGGCAATGCATCTACAATCTACAGATATTGATAAAAATTGATCGATCAAATTAAAAAAAATATATATGTTGATAAATAATAACCTTATCACATATATACTATCTGTACATAAGTTGCACTTTATTTTTTACATTAAATTGTTAGTTTTATGAATTATGGAAACTGAAATTAAAAAAAAAGGTCCTGGATTACTTTTAAATAACACCAAAATTAGGAATAATATATGACATGACTGTATTGTCCCATTATCTAATTAAATTAACCTTACCTCGCCATCAATTATTTCATACACAAGATGCGTTTTCTTATGTCCAGTCACAACAGTAACATCTTTACCATATAAATAACACTTCTCACAGAAAAAGATATTACTACATTTTGAGCACTTGAACTGTAAGACCTGAAAAAAAAACCAAATACACAACTGCTACATTCCTTTGCTTTTAAGGCTAGGCAGGAATGGAAAAGCATTATATAATAATTGAGTATTATAAATATTGAAATATTTAATGAGTGATCAAAACTATGTCTTAACATGGGAAAATTAAAATCTAGAAATAAATGTAATAAATAATAGTTTGAGGTGATTAAAAACAAAATTTAAGATTATAAAGAGAAACAGCATTGGTGAAACACATTGACTCTGACATTTAGTGTAAAAAATGCCAGAAAATTCCCATTGACACTGGTTCTTTGTTAGACTTAGATCCCAGACGTATAGAAGTAAATATTTAAGCACACATCGTTTAATTTCAAAATAAGGTTACATAACAAATTTGCCATTTGTTACCTGTATTAATGGTTGCGTGCATGCGGCACATGTAGTTGATGTATTGGAGCAAGTCCTGCTGGCTGATATTCTTTGCAAAACTGGAAGCCACCTGACTCTGGTACAGTTCTGTACACCCCATTCCGCCACAGCTCGCGAACTTACGCCTAACATGCCAGCACTCTAAAAATTCGAGACAGACTGGTGTATAATTCCACCATACCTAATCAGGTCATAAGTTTTGTCACGTATTTTTTGTGAAATAATTAAATAATTGACGCTGTTAGTTTTTGCAGTAACCATTTATACATCAAAAGGAGCTTACTTCAACATAAATTCTTATGATAACTAATCTTATTATCAGAGGGGTGCTGTGCTAACTTGTGGCTACGTCAGCCACCTGAGCGCGCATCAGCGACGCTCTCAACATTAAAAAACAGTCGCTGTAGCCAAACACGGCTAGGAAATGATATTGATGAAGCTTATTAAAAATGACCCCCGCGATTTTGTCCTTCAACCTGCGCGGCCAGTCGTCTATAGCCGTACGAACGAGGTCCATGTAAATATCGGCGACAACTTAAATCAAGGGTGTCAGGATGAGGCTTTGACTTGGGTGATTTCTGCTTACGCATATGCTTATCACTGCTGGCTTATCCTAACAGTGCTAGGTCTACTTATTTTTCTGTCTTCTACACTTCAATTTTTATTATATCGTTATATGGAACGATAGACGAATCTTTTGGTTATATTAAAATTTTTCAGTAGTTCGAAAATCTGATTTGGCACATAACCGCACTGATGCTACTCGATTTCCTTTCAGCGTCCACTCCATATTAGTAAATAAGTGAAATTCGGAATAGTGCACATATTAATTTCGTAAAATATGTAAAATTCGCATTCTCTTATTATAGTGGTAATAGTTAGTTATTCATTCGATAATGCTTACCTTATCAAAACATGCATCAACATCAGATTGTATTTGATCACAATTAACACCCAAATAATTGGGCAACGCTGTGACATGTGAAAGGAGAGCGGCTAGCCGTCGAGGTGACACGCAGCCATTGTGGTCGGCACAGCAATTTGCTAGAGCTATCCATTTTTCTGACACAGGCTCTTCACTGAGCAGAATTAGCAATGTCTTCACAGCAAGCACCCGAATTGGTGACTTTCTTTCCCTGTTCAATATGTTTATGTATTTAATTATAATAAACAAAGTAAGCTCAGATCTAATATTGTTCTAAATTTTTTAGATTTCCTACACACAAAAGTTATTCCCTCACATTGTGCTCAATGGATGAATCACAACCGGTAATAATAATAAGTTTGATGAATAGTTGATAGCAGTTTTAAAAACTTTTTTCTCTTAACTTTAACTATTACCAAATGTAAAGAAAAACTGACGGAAGACTAACTTCTTTTAAGTTTAAACTCAATTATTTTAGAATCTTGACTCTTATACGCTGACTTGATTACTGAAACACATTTCCAACATGAGTTACTAGCTAGTCACAATAAATTAGAGTTCTGAACAATGTGACATCAGCAATGATAAAAAAAAAAAAAAGGAACAATGATGGGAGTTGATGAATACTGTTGGAAGGGAGAGCTATAATACTTTTAAAAGCATAAACTTGGCAAGATAATTCTAAACATGATATACCCATACTAGATATACAGCGTGTTGTTACTACCTTGACAATAAATGATCATAAAAAATATATTTTTTAAACAAACTAATTAAATAAAAGAGAAACAAAATTTGTAACACCTATACAACTACAACTAACTGATTCATACATTCAGACTTTTTTTCATTGATTGCCACAACATCGCATAACAAGTCTCTCCTTCTAACAGCTATGTTTTATCTCTTTTAAATTCATTCAACCCATTCATATGCTTTGTGACCTTTACAAATGAACTTTAGATTACAGTTTTATATGTAGGATGTTCTAAAAATGTTTGTTTTGTAAAATTTAATAACTCTGTAAATATTAATGTTTAAAGAATGTAAATGCTTACTACAATTTTAAAAGGTTATCCTCTATATGTATGTTCATTTATTGTCACGGTTGTAACGACACACTGTATATAGATATATATTGTATTGTTTGCTCTGTAGCACTCATGGTGTAAATCCATGGAAAACAGATTTTATTAAATAGCTCATTAAAACATCCCTGGTTATAAGACATGAAACAATGAACATTGTATTGCATTAGATTAAACAAATAAATTTATAATAATTCATAAAAACAATTATTCTACAGTCAATACTCACTTGTCATACACATTGAGCAATAAGTTGATCAATAAGTCAACTGCCAAGTCTACATCGCCTGAGAATAAACCCTCCTTTTCTGAAGCAAAATAAATATCTGCAAGTACTCCTTCCAGTTCGCCGGTATCTAAGGAGAGACTGCTTTCTGATAAGCTCAATTGATGTCTAGCAAATACTCCTGAACAAATACGTAGAGGAGGCACTGGAAAATTTTACATAAATAATAAATTATATATAAATAATTAATATTTAATATTATTATTAATTAATAATTATTAATTATTAATTATACAAATAATTAATAATTATATAATTGTTTAATTTTAAAATATGTAGAATTTTAAAATTAAACAAACATACATTATTACAGATCGTTAGTTGTAGTATAGTTGTTGTGATCATGCTATTACCTTTTAGCTGCGTTTGTAAACCGAAAACTTTGAATGCAATACGATATACACTGTATTTAATATCATTATATTCATCTAATGTTTTTGTAATAGCCCGAAAATGAGGATGATCATAATCTTGTTTACCATTTGTTTCGCTGAAAAAAAAAGTCATTGTTATCTAGAAAGGCACTGAATGAAGGTGAGAAAACCTTATTCTCTCTATTACTAACTCGATATAACAAGGGTAACCAGCTTCGTTCTCAATCTTCTTCCAGCCATTTGAAGCCATGACAATCAATAACAGTGCTCATTTCAATTTTATTAGAAATATTAGAATATTTTTTTAAATTTTAAATGACACTAGACTATCAACCGCCATATATTCATTTAAAAAGTGCAAGGATTTAGGGAAATTCCTCAAGCGAGTAACGACCTTGATCTAAGTCCTATATAGCTAATCACATAAGAGAAATTAATTAAACAATCCTACTGGCAACCAATAACAAAACATAATAAACTTATTTGATTGGTTGGCAGTCGGCACTGGAAGTTACACCGTACAGTTCAACATTTTTTTTTTTTTGTAAAAGAGGTAACGAGGGTATCAGGCACTGTAATAGTAATAAATTGTAGCAAAACATGATTTATGCAACCTTAAAACTTTTATAATATTTTTAATTGTAATTTTTGACAATATATATATATATATATATATATATATATATATATATATATATATATATATACATCTTTAATGGTGATTATAAATACTCATAAACGTTATTATCTCACTATCAAACTTCTCAAATTTACTACATTTAGGTATTTTAATCTAAAATAAAAATAAAACAAATTTAAGAGTTTAGATTATATAAAACCTTTTTTATTAAATATTGAACATTCTAAATTCTAATTTATAATTATAACGGAACGTTATGGCTTTAGGCTGTAAATTTATTGGAGTTTGTTTTCTACGTTCTTTTCCGAATAAATGGAACCACCATCCAATAGCAAATAGTTTAGAACTGTTTACGTATTGTATTAACCAATGAATAACCAGTATTGGAATGCAATTTTGACAAGCGCTTCCTCTTTGTAAAGGAGACGCCATTTTGCAAGCGTCACTTGGCGGCGTGTCGGGTTTCGGCTTTTTACAAAACTTACCTCTGTAGAAGTCATATTATTGTTTTGGTTTTGTGTAATATGTCGTATTCGTCCAACGTAGCTCAAGACAGTTTAGCTGCTGCTCAGTTAGAAATGGCCGGCAACCCTAATGCTTTGGCTCTTCGTCGGCCGTTCGATCCGGTGGCTCATGATTTAGAAGCTAGCTTTCGCCTAACAAGATTCGCTGATCTTAAAGGACGAAGCTGTAAAGTACCACAAGATGTACTCGGTAAACTGGTGGAGTCGCTACAACAAGACTATTCCCAACAGGAACAAGATCAGTTTATGCATGTGGCGATACCGCGCATTGGTATCGGTTTGGATTGTTCGGTGACGCCTCTAAGACATGGAGGGTTATGCTTGGTTCAAACAACGGACTTCTTTTATCCCTTGGTTGACGATCCATATATGATGGGAAAGATCGCGTGTGCTAATGTTTTGAGTGATTTGTACGCCATGGGTGTTACGGAGTGTGACAATATGCTGATGTTACTTGGTGTTTCTACTAAAATGACGGAAAAAGAACGTGATGTTGTTATTCCCCTTATAATGCGTGGCTTCAAAGATTCTGCCTTAGAAGCTGGCACTTCAGTAACCGGTGGTCAAACTGTAATTAATCCGTGGTGCACCATCGGCGGGGTTGCTACCACTATCTGCCAACCTAATGAGTACATTGTCCCAGACAATGCAGTTATGGGTGATGTATTAGTATTGACCAAACCGCTAGGCACTCAAGTTGCTGTTAATGCTCATCAGTGGCTTGATCAACCTGAGCGTTGGAATAGAATTAAGCTAGTAGTCTCTGAGGAAGATGTACGAAAGGCATATCACCGTGCTATGGATTCAATGAGTCGACTCAACCGCATAGCTGCTAGACTCATGCACAAATATAATGCTCATGGGTCCACCGATGTGACAGGATTTGGACTTCTTGGTCATGCGCAAAACCTAGCATCACATCAAAAAAATGAAGTCTCCTTTGTCATTCACAATTTGCCAGTAATTGCAAAAATGGCAGCTGTTGCCAAAGCATGTGGCAATATGTTCCAACTATTGCAAGGCCATGCACCTGAGACCTCTGGTGGTTTACTAATTTGCCTTCCCAGAGAACAAGCAGCAGCATATTGCAAAGACATTGAGAAACAAGAAGGCTACCAAGCTTGGATCATTGGTATTGTTGAGAAGGGTAACCGCACTGCTCGCATCATTGACAAACCACGAGTCATTGAAGTGCCTGCTAAAGATTAAAACTATGTTTGGGACTTAAAAAACTATGTTTCTTTTATCTCCGAGCTGGATTGAAATTTTCAAATATTGTTTTAAAGAAAATTTATTATAAAATAATGTCTGACTTAATGACTTACAAGCATTTCTTAGTACATTAAGTTACATAATTGTTTCACATTACAAGGAACAAAAAGCTGTATGGATTAATGAAAATTGATAAATCTTCATGAATTTGATGTTTTATATGAATAAGATATCACTATTAAATTTAAGGAAACATTTCCATTAGGTACCCATTTCAAACCTAAAAATTTTGTTTGCAGCATGCAAAATGATACTGCAAATTGTGAGATAAGTATAATAAATAGAATAAAGTTATTTTCAGTGATCATGGTGTTTCATTTCATTGCTTTTTGTTAAAAGGAAAATATTAAACATTATCTTTTAAAAATAGGTTTATTGTTTCAGTGCTACATGCAAAGATATTATTTGCTACATAATATTTTTCATAAAATGTAGAACAGAAACCTGTACTTGTGACCAATAAATATAGTTGATAAAATAAACATAGAAACAGTGCAATTACTTCAAATACAACACAATTTGTAATAGCAATTACAGGGTACAAATTACAAAAATGTTTGTTGTTATAATAATATTAAACCTCTACAATAGTCAACAATTGTTAAAATCATGTTGTGAGAAACTGAAACATGAATTGATTCACATATTACTATTGTTTAACTGTTTTTCCCAAATAATATTTGGTTCAAGTACTGGACATTTATTTTATACAGGTGAGATGGCATAGATTTCAAATTTCAGGTGAAATATTAAAAAAAATCATTTGATATACATGAATTCAAAGTGTAATGATTCTTATAGTCATAGTCGACATTATGAAAATATAAGAATTAATTTCAATATCACACAAAAAAATACCTATTTTTAACAAAGCATTATTATCTCCACAATGCTTAATGTAAAGGATACTAGTACAAAAAGATAGCAATTCATTAAAATGGAAAAATTTGCCATCATGAGGTTTCATTTAATGGCAAAGAAAAGAATTCAGACAAATAAGGTTGATATTCTAATAAGAAATGTATGCACCATATAAGTTCTAAAACTAAGATTAAAAGGTTAAATAATGATAAATGAGCTTGAAAAGCTGTTGATAAAAATGGAATCATCCAGCAGTGGCAATGATAAAATGAATGAATTATTTATCGGAATGAAAAGCATTAAGATTTACTTAATAATGAGCAAGTGAAACAACAAAATTACTTAACTTAATGTTTATAAATTTATTTCCAACAGTGGTCATAAATTGTTTTATCATTAATGATAAATGTGCCTATTGTAAGCTTCTAACAAAGCCATTTGTTTTACTACAAAACCAAGAATCTTCTAATAGTGAATTAAAAAGATAGAACATATTTTTTTTTAATTTCAAAATGGCACTTATAACACTTTTCCCAAAAAACATAAAACCAATATGTTTCAAGTATTAATGTGTGATTGGATCTGTCTATTTGAAATACAAAAGTATATATAAAATTGTTGTACACTTTACACAGTCTATAACTGAAGCACAAACTAATTTTTAGCTCCGAACAACTTCAGTTCAATGGTGAGTTTAGACAAGGCCTCTTGCGTGGTCGACTTTCATCACCATTCTGTTCTATGTGGCTCTGATCTCGTTTCTTTGGAGAATTATTGTTCTGTAATGAAAAAATTGGATGCATTAAATAACAATAAATATGATTTATGATACAATATGAATTATACAGTCAAAAAGAATGAAATCATGTTTAAAAAAATACATTCTAGCTAAACTATTACTCTATATCACAGAAATCAATATAACTGCAATGAACAAACCAAATCATACATAAAAATTGTTGGACTTAAATATTATCATGTATTCAGTGAAATAAATCAAATATATGTGATACAACTAGGGTTAAGGGGTGATAAATACAATAGCTATCAAATAAATATTGTTAAAACCTTAAACTTATACTACCTACCATGATGCTACTACCTTTCCTTTTGACTAAATTTTTGTCAGATGATTAATATAATTAAATCAAAATTGTTAAAAAAAATTTTTTACATGTAGAATTACAATAAATTATGGTACTAACAATGAAGTTTTTTACATTTAAACAATTCACATTGTCATAACTCTTTAAATAACAGTATATGTTATTTAATTTTTTAATCTAAATCATACAATTTATTGATCTTATATTAACAAGATTAAATCTATCTAAAATTACATATTATCTAATAAACCTAAACTACACGGCATGGTGCCAAGAACCCTAACCATATTAAAATTTAATCTTTTTCTTTAATTATTACCTACTTATACAAATTGAAACTACTGGCTCATTGGGTCCTACTTTTCCTTTTGATTTTATTATAGTCAGATAGTTATTAACATATTTATATAAATTATAAAAATAAATACTTTTATATTTACAAATACAATATAACATTCTGCTATTGTAGTAATAATAATGTATTTTTTTCTATGTTTATAAAGCTCAAACAGAACAGTAGTGTCTCATAAATATGCTGTTTAATTAAATATCTCATATTTTATTTAAATTTATCCAACACTTGCATTTGAATGTGTAAAGTACTTTAGAATATGAGAAAAACAGGCATACCTTTTTCTCCCACTGTTGGTGTAAGTATCTTAATAGTATATTAGTTTTTTCCGTAACTATAACTGAAAATAATGAAACGAGAGTAAATTTTACGTCAAATAATAATCGTAAATGTAAAATATTTAACACAAGGTTGTACCAACTTTGTTCTGATGGGATATCTTTTGTGGGCAGGTATATTGATGGCCTTTTTGAACAGTTTCTTATACCAGAATCCGTATTAAATAAAGTGAAGTTGTGTTCGTCGTAAGATGGTAAATCTTTTAAGAACTCCGTGACCGACTGAAAAAGAGCAATTAATTGTAAGTAGTACCATGGCGATGAACAGGGTACACAGCAACCTAACAATTTAACATTTAATAACTGTCAATGACGCACCATTGTAGTCTTATATTAATGTTGAAAGATTATATAAATAACAACAAAACTATTTCTTTAGGCAAATTACAAACAAAATCATAAAAAAAAACTTTAATATTCAACGTTCAATGTAAAAACAGCAGCCCAGATGAGAATGACATGACTGACAAATGTTACCATTTTTGAAGAACCTTTATTTCATAAAATGAACCATTAAATATTACTAACACATATACAATTTATTAAATATTTGTGCTACTCAGGATATTAGTTAAATAAGTAGTAGTAAAGAATATGAAGCCAATAATATTTTATTTGAATTATATACCGAATAAAAAATATTCTTTTACTGGAAATAAAAAAAACACCAACAGATATTAAAATTTGCCGCGCAGAATATACGTATGCAGTTCTAACTTTTAACATGTACGGATTAGTAAATTCTAATTTTAATAGGACCTACAATCCTAGCGGTAGACAGAACGCCCTATCTGATATAAAAAGACTATTGACTTCTCGTGAAATAGCTGCACAAAATAAAGCCTGTGGCTATTTAATTGAAGTTATTAGCAGATATAAGGAAAATTCAAATGAGCGAGAACGCATGGTCGAGTACTTATTAGACAATGACATAGTTGTCTTTCTTTGCGAATCTGCTACTAACTTGGACTTCTCTTTATTCAGGTGCGTAAATATTTAAAGATAGATAAACATAGATAAAGATAGATAAAGTGACATAGAAAAAAATACCGTACCTACGCTGGAACTATTTATACAGATCATCATCTTTATGACTTGACTTTTATACATTGTTACCAAAAATTTAATGCGCCTAATGCCCAGCATAAATAATACACTAAATACTTATAACGGGTAGTCAGTGCCGATAGCTAGTGCGGCGTGAATGAGAGGACAATACTCTTTCCATGCCACGGCCCGACTTTCCCCAACTTAAATGTTGGTACCAAATCGCCAATCAGAGAGAACACGAACATTCAAATTTATAATTTTATGGAGATAATGTTTTAGAAATGTATTGGGATGTATGCGACTTCTCTGGCGAGAGAAGCGCTTCTTCGAAGAAGAGCACTCAGCGCACGCTATGTCAGCAGTACTCAGAGCACTCACACACTATGCCGCCATAAGTTCCAACGCAGCCGTCGATGGATGTTTACATTTCCTATGCGATTTGCTTAATGGGTAAGTTATAAAGAAATAACTGTCCAATATGAATATAACTAAACTCTAAAGCAAACGTCAGCATATTACGCGCGAATAATTAAGTGCAAATATTAGCACTATAAAAAACTAAAAATTTCTAAAAAAAGCAATGGCTACATCTCTCGTTTGAGTTATCGTTGTAAAACGATATTCCAAATTGTTTGCATGCTGGAAAGGATATAACAATAGATGCGCCAAGTATTGCTTCAAATGCTAAAAAACAATGTAGATAAAAGACGTTAAGATTTTCGTCGGCGTGGCAATCAGCCGTTTAGCTTAGTGGCTAAAGCGTCAGGCTGCGAATGCCGAAGACGTGTGTTCGATTCCCACAACGGCGACAATCTTTTCGTACTTTTTCTACAAGTTTTAATGTTTAATCTTAAGTAAAGTGATTAGGACTACAAAAAGCTTTAGATTATGGAGGTATTGATCAAATTAGCTGATCTCTGTCTGCAGGCAATATGGCGATACGTTGACAGCCAAAAAAATAGACAACAGATACCACATTCATCAGACGAAATACAAAAATTAAATATTTATACTTACACTATAAACTGTAGCCGGGGTACTCCCCAGGCAAGACTGCCCATTCGTACAACAGCAGGATTGCTCCGTGATGCGTTAGGTCTACCATAGTGATATACATACATACCTCTCTAAGCAGTTGGATAAAAAAGAAGAAAAATTATGAACTATGGTAATTGTGGTAGGGCCATGCAACAGTCGCTATTGCACCAAGGGGCAGGTCCGTCCGCGTAAGTACCAAGACCTCACAGAAGACCGGCGTGAGGTGGAAGTTTTATACTTATAAACGCATAAATATACGTCTGGTGAGTGCGTTAGACGGGGCCCAATTTATTGAAAGGAGGCAACGCACCTGCAACCCCACGGGTGTTTCAAATGTTAATGGGCTGGTTATCACTTAACACCAGGCGAAACGCCAGCTCGCTTGGCACCTTCTAACATAAAAGAAACCATTCGCAGTATCAGCCTTCACGACACCGCGTCTCCGCTGTCCCATCAAAGCGCTTACAGCGTAGAGCAGCTCCTTGCTTGTATCAACGCTCTAATGCAGTGCGTAGATAAGAAACCGAACGGCGTACTATGCGTCGCCCTTGTGTTGCACGCTCTAATATCGCACCAGCCCCCGGGCCTTGTGATCAGGGCCACCACGGCGAACGCGTTGCTCCAGGTCCTGAGACCGTGGTCGGAGCTGTTCTTGGGTCAGTAACTGCATAGAGTAGCAATCCAAAATAATAATGAACCGTAGTTTACACATGTAAATGCCATCGTGTTGTGCGGATATTTTTTCGTGATTAAAATTAATGCTTTTTTATTTGTGTATTGACATTATAATTATTGCATATATGTGTGTTATAATTAATATATGTACACCATTAACTACCATTTGTGACCAATTTCCAGTCACAGGTCTGCTGGAAGAAATTTCTTAAGAAATAAGCAGAGCCCTTGTACAAATCTTTTCATGTAATTACATTTCTTTCATATAATCTGTGTACATAAATTATAAATAAATAACCATTAATTATTACTTATTTATCTCGTGTATACCATAAATGGTGATTTAATGAAAATAATTGACAAAAGCAACTGAGTGTTATTAGAACACTCAAGAAGACTAAGTTGTGTGCAAGTAAATGATTTGCTGCTTTATGTAGACCCTTGCTGTTTAAGAATGTACAAACTGCAATTTAATCATTTGATGCTCCATTTCTCTTAGCTACACTGTTTAAAAGGTACAATAATTTTGGACTGTTCTATATTAGCGAACTGGGCGTCGTTCATCACGTTTGTAAAAGCTTGGAACAAACTTTTTCAATTTCAATAAAAGAAATAATTTTGAAATCAACACACACACACACACATAAATTTGGTCTTCACAAATAATGTTTTCACAATACTACGTAACATACCGGGCCATAAAATAAAAAAAAAATAACAAATACAACGTATCACAATGTTTCTATATATTTGCGTAATAGGTTTTAATAATTCCCATGACTTTGTTCTCTTTATTTAAAAAGCGTTCTTAAATAAATAGAATATTTTAGGCGCATTGAATCATTCCATCTTCGTGGACGACACTGGTCTCTCGGGGATGTTATTAGTAGTTACGTCACAGATAGCGACTGATACCCTCAGGTTAGTCTCGTAACATACTTTTACTGTTGTCAACTCTTAATTAAAGTTTAAGATCACCGATATATTTCTGCACGAATGGCGCTCTGGGTCAAAAGATCACCACGCCATCCCATTATGTCTGTATTAGGTCACTTAAATATGAATTCCATAAATATGTTTTATCATCAGTGCTCTTTGTACCTGAGATAATGAAACTGTCCAGGATACAGAGATTATACCCTAAACCTATATGTGTAAAAATAAAACTCCCTGGGTTACAACATAACTCATATCTTTTTTCTCTTTAAACAGTTATTGTACGATATGCCCTTATTGTAAGATAACATTATCTTGTGTTATAAGGACGCTTCACAAACATAAACTTCACGTGTAAAAACATCCAGATCCGAAATAATCATCTGTGTTCCCGGAGTGGGAATCAAACACGTGACCCGCGACGCCGAAACTGCCACTTTGGCAACTGCGTCACTGAGTCATCAGGGGCTAATTGTCAACACATCGTTTCATAATTTTATTGCAAAAGTGAAATATAAGTCAAATTATTCCAAAACTAGGCTGATAGACTTGATACGACACGGCGACCGGAGTACGGACTTCGTTCAAAGCATTTTAACTGATGAACACGAGATTAATGCTCTGAGAGAAAACGCTAGGGAAATGACAACGTGCGTTCAACACACCGCTTCTGAGTTAATAGTGTTCATAAAGGTAAAGTGTATGATATGCGTTAATGGTTATATAATCGCCCAGTGTGATAACTTTTATTAGTCTTGATACTAAACATACGTTCTATAACTTAGTATTAGTTACGAAATTTGCATTAATGTAAGCCTTGATTTTTTTAATAACAATTTCCGAGTAAGTTATTCTTTATTTACTCTTCACTTTTGGATAACATTATCCTGTGTTGTAAGGACGTTTTACAAACATAAATTTCACGTGGACAAACACCCAGATGCGAAGTAACTATCTGTGGATCACACAAATAGTTCGAACCCACGACCCCCGACGTCGAACTCGATACCTTGGTCACTCTGCCACGGACTCATCAATTTAGTAACAGCCTATAAATTATATGGTCCATTGCTGGGCAATGTATGTCTCGGCAGAGGGTATAAGGACATAGTCATAACTTCTAATATTATTTTATTATTTCGAAGATTCCCGCTTCCCTCACGGTAGTTTCATTCTTGCTTTCACCTGGATTTGAACTCAGGTTTCTTTATAATACTGAATTAAAAGCGATCATCTGGTAACTGAGTTACCTAGGCTCGGAATGTTTTAGTGTTTAGTGTTTTAATGTTTTAGTTATAACTGTTTACTGTGTTTATGATTGACAAAGCAACGAAAGAAAATAAAAGGAAATATTAATACTAGACTTATTAATAAAGTCCAGTTTTTAAGTTGTACATGCATATGCTATTTTAACTGGCATTCAGCACATGTTACAAAAATACTGAATAAAAAATATGATTTTCTTTTATAGGTTTTCGATTTAAGGGGACCTTTATTATTTACTAGTCTCTAAATCTTATCTTTTCATAGGAAAATCAAAACCACATCAATACGGAGGAATATGGAGTGTTTTTGAAATTTCTGCTCAATTTCTTACAACATAACGCAAATATCGAATATTTGCCGGATTTTTGTGACATGCTCTTTGATAGAGGCTATTTAACAATACTGCCTCAGTATCAAATAATAAGGTATAGAATATCAATCAGCCCTCATTTTTTTTACACTTATAAATAATATAAGGGTAATAAATATACATATCAAATGTGCTGATAAAACGTTGCAAGATTTAAAAAAGCGCGAAGCAACTCCAAAAGCAGTAAAAACGAAGTAAGATAAGGTGTGGTCTACACCTTATCTTACTTCGTTTTTACTGCTTAGTGGCTAGAACGTCTGGACGCGTAATCCTGATGCGCTGGTTCCAACCCTGCCAGCGGCGAAATGTTTTGCGACAGTTTTTTCTATACATTTTAGGTTTCGTCTTAGGAGAAAAGATCTAGTGTCTGCTAGCAATCAAATTAAAAAAATACTACTAACACTCATTACCAATATATTCAGTAGGTTTATTGTACATTGCTGTGGTAGGATAGAGCCACGCTTCTGTTCTTGCACGAATGGGCAGGCTCGTCAGGGAAAGTCCGCCTTAAAGAACTGTTCAGTGGATTATACGATTTCGTTTAGTGGGTGAGACAATTGTTATGATGCTATTGTGTTTCGTCGTTAGGGTGAGGTAACTGGGACGCCCTTTAAAAGGTTGGAATTATATCTGCCACCATATCGGTGTTATACGAGTAGGCGTCCACCGGTTGCGATCCGTTCCTCGGCTCGTTAAAAATAGCCCCTTAAACCCATTAAACACTTGAACGACGTTAAAAACTTGGCTACAGAAATGATCCAACCGTTCGCAAAGTGAGCACCCTTGTCCTAGGCGAGATGCTCAAAGTTTTGGCGGAGCGATATTTGTACGTCAACGAATCGGATGGCAACGAGAAGTGCGCTAAAGACATTCACGTAAGCTATTGAACCAAGATGATTACAAATTATCCCATTCAATAATAAAGAAAGCATCTCCTTTCACTCACATGTGATAATATTCCTTATTTTAATTAAACCAAATGTAATTATTAGCGCCTTAAGATATGTTACGTGGTTGTTAATTAAAACTTACTAAATTGTTCTTTATAACTTGGTACGTAGTGAAAACAAAGTTTCTTATAGTTTGACTATCGTATGGCGTAGGTTTCTGACCATTTCCAAAATGTGTGATGAGATGATTTGAATTTCTCTCATTAAAATGTTTCACATAGGCATATATGGTATGTATGATACTAGTATGTATCATATACAAACGTTAAGTTTAACATTTTCCATGAATATATTAAATATCACAGCAGTTTTTATCGTTTCAAGAATGGGCTTCCTCGAAATACTATTCAAAACACCTCAGAAATTTGGTGTAAGGAAAATTTACGATTTTTTCTGTATTTCGTCTGAGTAAAGTTTAAAGGGCCTTCTTAGAGGATATGTGGTCGGATATGGTCACTATCAAATTGCCAGCGGCTTATTCTGTTTTGCGAGCTTGCCCATAAAAACAGTTCCGTGTAAACGTTAATTATAAAATTGAGCTTTTCAAACTCTTTATTATTTCTTACAGCATGGCTTAGTCGAATTACAATACGGCATAGAAAGGCTGCAAAGCATCGGAGAACAGTTGCAAAAGAGTCAGCCGTATAGTCTGCTCATTTACATATACTTCTACTGTCAATCAACCGAAAAGTATTTTAAGTTTTTTTTATACCGTACAGTCATTAATATCAACAAAATGAAAAAAAATTAAATTAGAAAAATATTATTATTAACCTTATTTTTGTTTAAACTAAGATGACTGCGAGTGAAAAAATTAACCGACAACGATGCAGAACATAAGAAAACTGAATTCAAAATGAGTCTTTTTCATACATTTCAAATAATCATATAATTATATTTCACATTTGGATTTAATTTAATCAGTACAGATAAAAAACATAATTTAATATCTGTTTAATATTAAAAAAGCGCTATGCGTTCTAACTTTTTTCAGTCCCGAAGAGGCAACAGCGCCCTTACTGCCGTATTTGGTCGAGCACATTCTTCGGCTTCCCAAGTCCTTTAAGCCGCCATTATATATTATTAAAGCGCTGTGGCTGGTGTTCGCAGTAAATATAGTCTCAAATACCTTACCCCACTTAATTATTTGTCTGAATGTCTGTAATTAGCTCCGTGAGCAGATACTATATACAATTCTGATATGTACCTATCTGATATGTATATGTATGACTAAGAACTATCGTATAAAAAAAATCAAAAAATATTCTAAGTGAATTTGACCACAATTAGCATTGTCGTTCAGAAATTATACAATCAAATTCATATAAATAGTAACTCTTAAATGTTATTGCTGCCAAAATGTCACGAAATTTCATAGAATTATACAAAACATTTATTAAAGAAAAATATATAATGCCGCTAATTGGAGACAATTTCATTAAAAAGGTTTTTAAAAATCATTACCTATCCCTAGATGGCAGCAATATCAAACGGCTCTTTGAAATCTCTAGAAGAGAGAGTCTATCTAGATAAGGCTACGGATTGTTTGATTTCGTTAATGAATAAAGAATATTCTACGTTTTACACGCACAATCCCGCAATATTGCTTTGGGCGTTCTCATCGCACAGGATACCAAACTACATGCGCGCAGAAGTTGTAAGTGAAAATAAATAAATAAATATTTCAGAACATAGACAATTTACACAAAATTCTTTGGTCGCAAGGTAAACTTAGCTCTTAATAGCTCTTACTATAGGTACTAGGTATAAAAGGTGATAAACATACTTTTCTTTTGTGAGTACATATTATTATACATATATAGACATCGTACGAGAGGTACACATTGGACATTAGCAAAACACAGCGTCTATCACATAATATTTTTTATGAGTGAGGATCGAACCCACACCCTCAAGAGACGAGTACATTAATTTTATCGTTAAGTAAATATTCTCATCGAAACACAAAATCAGTATACTAATTTTAATAGTTATTTGCCCTGTAAGAAAAATATTATTAAGCGTCGCTGGTCTGAGCTGATAATGCGTTAAGAACTTGACGTTTTAATATAAAGTTTTGGATCTAAATAAAATCTATATTTACATTAGCTAATGATGTTATATAGATTTGGTGGTGCAGCTGCTGAGTTAGTGTCTTCGGCGACGGAGTCGTAGTCTCAATTCCGACACGGTAGTAGTTTTATGTGCCCCACAGATTCAAAATCTTTCAAGCAGCCAGTCGTAAAGGAACTAGCCAATACCACTAACGTTATCCGCTTATGCCGACACAACCTGGGTGGAATGAAGGATGATATTTGTGTTGTAGCCGTGATAGCTCAGTGTCCGGGCGCTCGCCTTTAATTCAATATACTCGAGCAACCTGAGTTCGATCCCCGGTGCCGGCACCAATGAAGTTTTTAACTTTAAGTGCTGACTTATCACGTGCTCCGCGGTGAAGGAAAACATCGTGAGGAAACCTGCATGTTTTCGAAATAATAACAAAAAATATATATATTTCGAAGATATGTGAAGTCCGCCAATCCGCAGTGGGGCCGCGTGGTGGACTATGCCCTGATACTCTCTGTATAGAGGAGGCCTTTGCCCAGCAGTGGGACATGTATAGGCTGTTACTTTACTTTTTATTAGTGTTGCCACAATTGCAGCTGTCCCAATGGCTCAAAACTGAGGACTCCTTACCGGACGCTCTAACTGGCGAGTTCGAAGTGTTGGAACTTTTGCTATCGATTCTCGTGCAATGCGAGGATCGTACGGTCGTATCGAACTGTATGGCGACGCTGAGCTCTTGTCTGGAACAGGCCAACCACGAGTTTAGACAAACGTTTGCTGCTCTAATCTGGTCGAAACTGCCGGAAGCTCTGTCCAGGGCTCTAATAGACTACGGTCGTGTTATGGGTAACGATGAAAACTTTTGATAAACTAACGATATATTTCGATTAATATACCTCTGTCTCCATAACAACGAAGGTCTTGCAACCCATCTCATTCTTGTTAAAAATCCTTCTCCGTTCAACAGCTCATGACAGCAGACATCTTTAGATTTTATATCATACTAGCTGTGCCCGCGACTTCGCCCGTGTGGAATTTAAAATAAAAAAAATCTAAAATAAAAGTAGCCTAAGTTACTCCTTATTATATCAGCTATCTGTCAGTGAAAGTCCCGTCCAAATCGGTCCAGCCGTTTCAGAAATTAGCCGGAACAAACAGACAGACAGACAGACAAAAATTGTAAAAAATGTTATTTTGATATATGTACCGTGTATACATCCATATGAATTTAGTAAAAAGCGGTTATTTTAATATTACAAACAGACACTCCAATTTTATTTATCTGTAAAGACTTGTCAATATATTTTTTGACCAATAAACTATTTTGCGTCATTGAAATATTCGAAAAAAAAACATGCTAAGTTTTTTTACATCTAAGGGAACATACAAAGACATCATATTTGGTAAAAATATCTTCTTGAATTTACTCGATGAAATTAATACAAATAACATTCTGTTCAGTATAAAAGTTATAGTTTCACCTACGTTTAGTGCCTATTCGAAATAATTTGATTACTTGTTTTGTACTGCTAGTAATAATACTAATTACCGTTCGTATTTTAGAAACGAATTTGTGTCACCTAATGGATATAGCGACAGATCTTTCGTCGTCCGAAATAGACCAGACTGTTCGCCTTAAAACAGCAGTTGTGCTAACGGCGATATTTTCACGACATAACCCAGAAAGTACTAACCTTGATAGCTCCAATGAGGAGAGATGTTATTTCGATTACGTGTGTTTGAGGCTTAGCCGAGATCTCTTATTTTTAGCACATGACGAAAACGACAATAGAGGTATGATAAATATTTTTTTCATATTTAATACGTTATATGTAAATCGGATGTAAACAGGTCTCTATTCAATTTGTTTAATAATATTAAATAAATTGCTGTCTCCTTTATAAAACTGCTCACAATCTTACCTAGGCAAATGTCATGAAAATGCCTTAGTGTCTTTCACGTGTTCAAGTAAATGTCACAAAACATGTAGTATAAAATTTTTGTGTCTAAAATTTTGTTTTTGTTTAAATTCTATTTTCAAAGCATAATAGATGTTTTGAAAATAGAATTTATATTTGTCACCGACGCGTAGTCTAAAAAAGGCGTAACTAAACCACAAATATATATATTTTATAATAATTCATAGTCAAAGTGAAAATTTAAATATACCTTTATTGAATTAAACGCCAAAAACCACCACTAGAACTGGCCAGAGAAGAATTGGCAAAAAAAAAAACTGCGGTCGCGTTATCTTCTTTTTAATGATACAAGTATATAAATATGTATATGATGAATTAATTCTGTATATTGTATGGAACCATCTTTGTTCCAAGGGACTATGTAAAGCTTCATGAGTAACAGGACCCTATGAATTTTACGTGGACATTTTAAAATAGAAATAGCGTGTACACATCTCCGTTTACAAGCCATCTAATACGTTTTTTTCTTTGATTGTTTTAACCCTAACACCGATGTTGACTAGCTAATCGGTATCCGAGAGAAGTCACAAACCGTCTACCGGTCTTTAAAACCATTCATCATTCATTCAATTCGATAAACTACTGCTCGGATGGTAGAGTCGCGAGCACTAGAAACCGTCTACCGGTCTTTAAGACCATTCACCATTCATTCAATTGGATAAATTAACGATTCCATTCTAGTGCTTCTGACTTACACTAACCGGGAGGCATTTCTACCGAACGTCCTCTCAGCGGCCAACTCCTCGGACGGTAGAGTCGCGAGCGCCGCTCTACATCTGCTCACACACGTAATACATTGCTTCACAAAGAACAGCTATCAGGTCAGAATTACGGCGTGTTGCGTCTCCAAATTGCTTTTAGGTTAAGTAAGCCGCGTTTTTCGTAACAGTCAACTTAAACGAATGACTTACGAACATGAAGTACTTGCAAAGCGTTTTTGTGTCAATTTAGTCTGCACGAAATTGGGGGTCGGTGGCAGTGTAAAATAATGTTATTAAGAGATGCGGAATGCTGGTGATTTTAGCCAATACTCGTGTTTAGCCCGGACGCTGTTAATAAATAACTTTTAAAAAACAATCCAAAAAAGTAACGTTAAGTAACTCATTAAAATAAATATTTCCATATGTGTTCCATTGATGGACAAAGATCTATTTTGTATCTCCATACAGAGGAGGCATTTACCCAGTACCCTCTGGTTATAGGGCACAGTCCAACACTCGACCACACTGCGGATTGACAGACTTCACACATCTTCGATATATTTCATAACTACATCGAAAATGTTTCATGATTCGTCTTGTTCAATTATATTCATGTTTTACTTCACCGCTGAGCATGTGATACGTCAGTACTTGAAATTTCAAATAACAATTTCATCGATGCCGGCAACGGGACTTAAATCTCCGGTTTGAAATCAGGTCATACGAGTATATAGGCACTGATTGAATTATATATAACATAAGCCTCCTTGGTTGTGTCTACTTATATGCTAGTTCTAGCATTTTGATAGTAGCAATGATAAAAACTACTTCAAAGTCAATCACTGTTGACATGATGTGTTTTTGTGTTTGAATATTTAATGCTATTTTAAATCAGAGATTTCTAAATTTTTTAAAATAAACAGCGCCCAAGGAAAAAACTATTAAGTAACAAGTTGCAACAACAACAACGCTCACTGTGGATTATTCAAGTCTATATGTGTGAATAACATAGCTAGATATATCCTGATATAATATATTGTATTACTGTTTTACCGTTCAGATATTTAATGTACTTAATTTGTTACACCGTACTTACATTGTTTTCATTCTGTATATTTGATTTATTGTTAAAACCCCAGCCGAAATCATTGCTACAAGTCCAAACGGGGCAGTTGATAAAATCTCTACGTAGAGATAGTTCAAGCGAGCGCGGCTCCTTGCTCATGGAATTCATACATACAATGTTGAATTCTGGAATGAACACACCGTTAGTTTTGTCTAATGATATCGGAACGGCACCATCGGCTTCGCAGCAATGCGTCGCTCTGAGAGCCCTGATGTTTAGAATTCAACTCAATTTATGTTGTAGGGTGAGTACGCGTTTCTATAAGTAACTATTTATTTTTATAATGACATAATTGATGACTCCGTGGCACAGTTGTCAAGGTACTGACTTCGGCACTGTGGCTCGTGGGTTCGATTCGCACACGGAACAACTGTTTGTGTGAACCGCAGTTGGTCTGGGTGTTTGTCCACGTAAATGTAAATCCTTACAACACATCCCGTGTTGTAAGGATTTACATTTACTGTACTGAATGTGATCCTGCAGTAAGGGTAATAATATCTAATAATATCTTTGAAAATAGTAATAATTTAAAATAACAACAATTTTGTGAGTAAAGCTGCAAGGGATTAGACGGGGCACCTAATATTAAGTGATTACTGCAGTTGATGGACATCTTGTCCATGGGCGGCGGTATTCACCTAAAATCAGGTGAACCGCCTGCTCGTTTGACAACTTTCAAATAAAAAAAATCTAATACAATATTGATAATGAAATTATTATTTTGATCAGTAAGTATCATGATATGTCAACCACACAGGTTATATTATAATGTCGTAAATATAGCATGTAGCTTGCATAGAGTAAAATACTGCATCAACATCTTTACTCAATCGTGTGCTTCCTGTTTGTATAACTGGTAAGGGGAATCTATTTAAATTTGGAGTCTAATCCACCTGTATTGCCAAACTTCGTTCGTTTAAACACACGAACACCTAATGCCTTGTTTTCAACCCACCTTGAAAACCTTCAATAAAGTGAGCTTTTAGTTTGTTTACCTCACTGACGAGACGAAAATCGAAATTTTATTAGTTCCACTTCACGCGGGTCTTCTTTGAGGCCGCGGCGATTCCCCGGACGCGGCTGCCTATTCGTGTATAACACATAGCAAAAAGAATTGAGAAAAAAAAAGAAAAAGAAGAATAATGTTTCCAAGAGAAAAATCGTTTCATCAAATTTACAGGATTCCGAAAAGCAAGCGAACGGCTGGAAGACCCTCAGCTCCGTTTTCAAACACGCGGTAGTTTACAAAAGGGACGCGAATTTGGTCGCAGCCCTCACCTCCCAGCCGTGGACGCACACCCTCGTCAGGTTCCAACTCTCGCAAGGCGTCACTGGGGAGTTTCTGTCATTCGCGCACAACTGGCTGACCCTCCTACAAATCACCATACGGAAAAGCTTAGACAACACAAAGCGATACGTGTCTAAATACAGCCCCGTCACTAGAACCTTGATACTTATGAAAAAGCATTTGGATGTTGAAGATGAAACACTCAGGGACGTAATTGAGCAGATTTTGCGTATCATTGATAGTATAGCCTCGGATTCAAGTATTAAAATCAAATAGTACATCTCCTTGTGTCCTTAAAAGTAATCTGACTCTACATGTGATTCATAAGATTATTAAAGATATTTGTAACTGTTCCTTCTTTTATTAGTTTCGATAATATCATAATATGGTGTGTAACGCGAAAAATATTATAAGCGTCAGAATATTTTTAACAAACAGCGATTTTATAAATGATATTCTATTGAGGTCAACCCCTTCTGTTCTATAAACACAAATTAGATGTTTAATCTGGTCGTAACCTATTAGTCGATAGTTTTCGTTAAAATAATATAATAATGGAAATAATAATAAAATGCTTACATGGTTGACAATAAAGCCTTGCCCGCTCACGAGACATTTCATAATTTCCTTTACCAAGAAGGAAATAATACCACTTATATCATCATCACTATCAGCCTGTGACTGTCCCGTATTGGATAGACCTCTCCCAAAGCCATAAAATTTAGGTAAGGCTAAGAATCCAGCTACCACCAGCACATCGCTCCCTTTGTTTAGGTGACGCCCTGCCGTTTGTAGTCCCCTTAAGTTTTTTTTTATTTTTTCTCTTGCCTTTATCTAAAGGAGGTTCGCACAACACGAGAATCGTTAATGGTATTGACTAGACATTTTTACGAACGCAGGCGGGCGGCCTGACTTCATCTTGGGAATAAACATTCACATACGGAACAATTACTGGCCAAACAATTAGTTGTCTCGAGTAGAAATCGAGCCCACGACGCCCGGCACAATAGCAGCTGCACCAAGATAACTAAAGGGGATTACCCTTTAGTTATCTCTTTTCAACCGACTTCAAAAAGTAGGAGGTTCTCAATTCGACTGTATTTTTTTTTATGTTTGTTACCTCAGAACTCTCGACTGAGGTAACCGATTTGGATGATTCTCTTTTTAATTGAAAGCTGGTGCTTCCCATGTGGTCCAGTATTAATTTAATTGGTATTGGATCCTGGGCTATTTTTTATGTAAAAAGTTGCCAAGCGATCAGGCAGTTCACCTAATGTTAAGTGAATACCACGCTCATGGACATCTGCTACACCCGAGGGTTACAGATGCGTTGACAACCTTTTGAAGAGGGAGATACTTACGGTTTCTGATTTCAAACTTTACTATACAGCTCGCTGCCTAATACTTCGTATAATAAATGATGTTAACAACGCATTAACAGCCACGGTTAAAAGTGAGAGTCATTGTCGACGGAACCCATACATAGTCCTAATTAACTTTCTATTTTATCGATAGTCCAAATATTTAGAAGTCGCTTTCCATGCGTTTTGCATTCCGAAGGACGAGAGAAATTATATCAGCCCACACCTATAAACGTAGAAGCAACTCGCTTTGAATAAAAATGAGAGTGAAAAGCATGAACAATACTTAATAATTATTTATTGTTTTCATCGAAGGAATCTTTATCATACATGAAGATAACAAAATTAGTATTCGATTTACATGTGTTCCTTAACTAATGGGAGACAACTTTGAGACAATATATCTATGAAGATAAAAGAAATTATTCGTTAGAAAAATTATTGTATCATTTGTCTCAAAAGGCCAATTGTTGTATGTATAAAAAAACTTTAAAAAAACATTTTTATTTAAAGGACTACTAGGAAGAGTGTAAAACATCCGAAGCCAACTCGGAAACAAAATAGGAAATTATATTGACGTATTTAAAACACGAATATCCTATAAGTGTGTAATTTTAAAGTAAATCAAATGTATTTTATAAGTTACCATATTTGTCAACTAATGGAAAAAGTAGTATTGTAAGAGGCATAAAATAAATATTACGTAAACTAAATTTACAGTTGTGTAGTAAACTGTTAATATACTTACGACACTGAACATATTTTGAGTCGTTTATAAAGTCGATCTAAAATTGGGTATCTATTCTTGTCGCTGGGAATATGTTGCCATATTTACAAATCCAGCTCATAACACGAGTGCAATCATGACGTCACACGCAGCTTACTCTAGCCATTACAGGCTACTGCGAAACTTCCACCGTATGTTTCCCAAACCCACCCTACTGTCCGCCTAAGCGACAACAAGTGGTCCGCGAGTCAGTCGTCACTCGCGGCTGGTACTCGAGCGCACAACTCCCAGCCAAACTGAGATACGCTCCGTAACTATTGACTTAGTGCTGTGACAGTGATGCTGCAGTGTATACACACCTTTATATTGTGACCGTCATGTTAATAGTGAGGACAAATAACCGTGTGAAAATGAACGGTAAGTGTTTACGTATTTTGCCTATATAATAACAAGAATACAACAGAAAATTCATGAAGAATAAATACACAAATTTATCGCATCTACGTTGCGTTACATCCTTTATCTCCTCTTTAGAAAAAAAAAATAAAAACTTAAGTGAGTGGATAGTTTTTTTAGTTGAAAATCATAGACATTTTCAGGCATACGATTTGCCTTAAAACTTTCAATCTTCCCAAAGCTAGTACTGGTACTGAGTAAAACAAATTTGAGTTATTTGGAATAGAACGAATAAATTTGTTTTGTGTTTTAAACAAATACAAATTATTCTTTAAAAACGGGCGATAATTGCGATTACTGTTACATATATATACCAAACTTTTAACACATTTCGACTTTACTACAAATTTCCATATTTTGACTGTATGTTTAATAAATAAAATAAATTTAAGACAATTTGTCAAGAAGCATTTAATAATTTGTGGATTTTTCAGCATGGAAAGTTTAAAATTTTTAATTATTTGCAGATATTATATACATATATTATTATATATAACTATACCACTAGTTGCAAGCACCGTTAATGTTTAGTAGTGCGTTCATCAAATGGTTGGCTTGGTACCATAGCGAGTAAGATTGCCCGCACTTGTACCTGTTTAGAAAAATCTAGGCCCCGATCCGCTTTTTACTTGATTTCTAGCGATCTATATAATGGAAAGGATTAGATCTATTCAAGTACGTAGTGAAGATCGGCTTAGAAAAAGCATTCTTTTTAATTTACCAATTTCCATATGGTAACCAAAAATTATTGTGAAATGTTTGTATTTGTTTTTTTAATACCAATGAAGATTAAGAAGAAGATTAAATTCTTTTAGATTTCCCAGCCTCTTATCCCGTTTGTTTAGCAATATCAACCATAGATATCTCGAACCAAATGTCTACAATAATGAAATCAACATCTTCGCAAACACTGAATTAGGAGGGAACTCTTTTCTAATATCATAGAATTATAACCAAATAAATTTATTATTAAATTGTGAAAACTCTACATAATCTCGATTATTATATTGCTTTAAGCTCTAAGTAACCTCAATTACTAAGATGCCCTAAAATTATTACTAGTCAAGAGATAAATAGAAAGTGAAGCGTGATCGATTATTTCAGTTTCACTTCCATTATTCGGAAGACACGAATTTTAATATTTCTATTGATATTTTGTCAAACCTAAGAATTATATTTATCAGCAATAGACCAAACATAGCTTTCAAAATAATTATTTCTTTTATTTTTCACTTTCCTCTCACTCTACAGTTATACACTTTTCACGACAATCTAATTTGTTAAAATATCGTAGATCTTCAAATAATAGTTTTGATTAATTTATCATAAAGAACGTTTATTGTTCTTATTACTTGTAACACAAACGTTAAATTGATTTAAGAATGTATTGATAAAACAATAAAAATACGTAAAGCTTAACTTTGAAACGTTACGGAATAAGTAAAACTCAAAAAAAGTAGCTAAACTTTTTCCAGTCTTATTGTATTCTTCTTTCTCTTGCCCTTCTACCACCTAGGTGGGATCGGCAAATCACGTGCATCAGGTAGTTAACTGTTTTTCAATTTACACAAAAAGTTTTCCTGTGTGAGAATCGAACCCATAACTCCCGGCCACGAAGAGAACACACATACCTAAGTAACTTACTGAGCTTTATCGTATTCTTAAGGAATTGCATCAACCTACAATGGGCAGAAACTTATAATTCACATACTAGCGATATGCACGCTAACACGTTTCTCAAAAACTAATTACGTTACCTCCGCCTTCTGATAACACTTTTTTTATACTTTACTAAGTTACTCAATATGTAATAGTTTATCTACCGTTTGTTAAAGACATAATAACTTATATTTTAAATAGCAAAACGGATTTTATAACTTAATCGTAATTATATTAATACTAAAGCTAACTAATATTAAAGCCGTTTACGGTAGGTATAGATGCAGTAGGTAGGTACAGGTTTCGAACCATACGACCAATTCATTCATAATCATAGTGTGTTGACGCGTAACCGTATCGAGTGAAACAACATTACGTGCAGCTAGAAAATTAATTAGGTTATACGAACGGAAGCAATCGCCGATTTTATTGCTATATACAATTGTGTTGAACAAATTCAGGAGAAATTATTCAACGTTATTCGTGCACCGAAAAAAGGCGTCCGATGATTTAATAGCAATTTCGCGTCTAATTTTCTGACCAATAGCCTATTTATGAATCCGATAGGACTTGTTAGTCGTGATGACGCTTTTGATAATTTTAATTTTACGATATTTGTTTTATTTTAAATCGACTTAAAGTCGAGCATGCAGTTGCGGGTTTACTCTTAATTCAAATTTCAGTAGTATGATGTCATTATCCAATTTACGTTTTTGTTAAATAGTTTTTTGTAAATATATTCTACTATTTTATCTTGTAGTCCGTAATATATCTTAATAATCGTAACTTTACGAATAACGAATTATAGCTATTAATTACAACTAACAACTCGATGACTTGGTGGGTGGTGAGATTTTTTCTTTTTAAAGTATTTGTGTGACCTTAATTGTTCCGGATCTGGATGTTTTTCACAAGTGGGGTTGACGTTAGGCGGGCGGCAATTTGTAAAAAAAAGTAGCCAATACCATTCACAACATGAGTCACATGTTGCGTTGACCTCATTTAGAAGGAAGAAGAAGAAAAAAGAACGAACAACTAGCAAAACTAAAAATTACAAGTATTAAGATATA